GGGGGGGGTGGGGGGGGGGGGGGGGGGGGGGGACGGGGGGAAGGACTTTACTTGTCTGTGCGGGCGCGCTTCTTGCGGTCGACGGAGCTGAAGCCCGCGACGACGATGCTGACGGCCACCTCGGCCTCCTTGGACTGGCCTCCGCCCGCTGCTGCTCCGCCCGCGCCGCCGCCGCCACCACCGGCGGCGCCCTGGGCGGCGCCGCGCTTGGCGCCGGGGCCGGCCTCGCTGGGGCCCGTGACGACGCACATGACCTTGGTGTTGCCCATCTCGAGGTAGGAGCTGCCGTCGGCGCTGGCCTGCGTGCGGATCTGGGCGTGGCACCGGCGCAGCTCGTTCCAGCGGCGGCCGTCGACGCGGAGGAAGGAGCCCAGGTGGTAGGCTGAGGTGTCGAGCGGCATGTTGGGCGGCGGACTATCGTGGTGAGCGAGAGGGAGATGAGAAGGGAGGGGAGGGCGAATAGGGGAGGCCAATTGAAGCGGTCGCTGCCGTGTCGCGGTTGGCGGTGCTGCGGTGCTGTATGGTTGCGGGTATGAGAACGGGTTGAGGATGATGATAGCACAAGGAACATTGAAAGCTTCCAAGGTTAGCTTTGGTGGGCGGATTTTTTTTAGTGGGGTTTGTTCCCGGCTGCGCTATCGATGGAGGGACTGGGTGGGCCTTTTGTCCGTCCAGTCCATCAGAGGAAGAGCTTACAAGTCCCATCTTGAGTCTTGAACCGACAGTTGGTGATAGACTGGGTGCTTGAAAAGGGATTGTTGATAAATATTCTTATCAGATGATAGAAGTATATGTCATGTAATCAAGCGCGTGCACTCGCTCCTACATCCTACATACGATCAACATTTGACAGTCTTCTTTTCGAATGCCTGTTCATTACGAAGCTTGACTAAGTACCTAGGTAATATTCCTTGACAAAATGAGACCCAATCTTTAGAAAAGCAGCCGTCCAAAACCCAGTACGCCGGTATTATGTCCTCTATGGATGTTCTGTGGTTCCGTTTGACAACTACTTGTATCCCTCCTGTTGAGTCGGCAACTCTGTGCACCCCTGTCATGATGCATCACTAAACCACCTAGGTCCCGACGGCCCCCTGCTCCAGGTCCCGCCCGATATCCTCGACCTCACTATCCGCGTCGTTCAGAGGCGTATACTCGGATGTCATGATGGTCGGAAGTTGGAACTTAGACATGGACCGGCAGTGCTCGCAGTCGCAGTTCCTCGACGCGATAAAGTGGACGAGATGCAAGAAGGTAAAGTGACAGTGGACGTAGCTGTCGGCCAACCCCCACCTGTTAGCATGGCTCCGACTCGGATACAAAACAGCCTGAAGACGGCGGGCAACTCACAAGTCGACCATCTGGAAGACGGTACAGTAGGCTCCCAGGGCGACCTGGCCCTCGTGCCAGGGAGCCGTGAGGAACACGAAGCTCGGGATGAGCATGGCGAGGTGAAAGACGGCGAGACCGACGTCGGCAAAGAAGACATTGGAAGGAGAGAGGTTCTGGATGGGTGACCCGGAAGCGGCGAATTTGTCGCGGAAGAGGAGCAGACCGCTGACGATGGCCGAGGCCGTCATGGGCAGCAGGCCCAGCGCCGGGAAGGGCTGGCCAGTCGCGAGGCCATGGATGAGGAAGAGGACGAAGCCTGGCGGGAACGAGTAGAGCGGAAACTTGCGCAGAGAAGCGTTGCTGTTGGCTACCTTCTGGGAGTTGGCTGAGGGAGGCATGGTGCTTGATGTATTGCCTGCGGTCTTGTTATTCTGGTGTGTGATTCTACGATGGGCTGATGATGTGTTTACGGATGTGCTTGATATCCTTTCCATTTCACACTTCTGATCAGAAGTCAAGGGGCCGCGCACTTATATGTCGACTCTGCCCCATGCGCCAACACCAGACCGGCCCATCGGCAGCGAAACAGAGCTGTCAGGCTGTGTACACGTCGGAGACAAACGCCCTGCAGGAAATCCAGTCCACATGGATGCTTAGCGACCTGCCGCCACTCACCAAAGCTTGGTCTACGCGGGCAGAAATGTCAGCACACCTGGGTCTTTTCTCCAGTTTACTAGGCAGTGAGCAAGAGCACTCGGCGACGATCCCTCCATTGCTGAGCCAAGCTTACCAGGCTTCCGTTTAAACGTCGAACATTGCGGCCCCACCAGCCCACAGCCACCTGCCGCAGCCGCCCATCAATGCTGATCCGTGCCGTGCAGTGCCGCTGGCGAGCATCCACGAGTGGGATCGCCAATCATTCTCATTGGTAAGCGGTAGCTGCTATGAAAGGGGCAACTGGGATCATTGGTGACACAGAAGAAGGCATCCCTTGGCATCTCAGTGGCAGAGGTGAATCTAGACCTCTACTGCAATATCATCCGACAAGGCTGTTTGTAGGCCAGACAAGGCGTTTAGCCAAGCTCTTTATGGGAGCCATGCCCTCCTGTACGAGAGAGACCAAGGAAACACGTAGCTCTTTCAAAAACCAAGGCGCCGCAAACATGAGGGGGATCACTGCATTTCGTATGGGAGGGTTGTTGAGGCCAACTTCTCTTCTTCAGGCGAAACCGCTCGACCTTTCCCACTTGTACGTATCTAACAAGCTCAGCTCAAGTGTATAGGCCCCTCCGTACGTGACCTCCTTCAATCAGATTTCGCTCCTTCGATGGAAGCCGAAAGCAGCGGTGGCACCGCCAACAGCCGTGACGGCTCCTGCTACTGCCCCTGCTACTGCTTGGAGAGTTGCAAGCCCAGATCCACCCGCCCCGGCACTCTGAAGGACGGCAAATGCGCTCCCGCCAACCACGTTTCCGATAAGTGACTGCGCTCCCGCCGCGAAAGACCCTAGAATATCCGCTCGGTCAGCTCCGCAGCCCATATTCTTGTGGGAGTTCGATGGCGATATAAAACTCACCTGCCGCTACGCCGCCCTCGCCGAAACCTGCGGCGGCCAGCAGTGGAGTTGTCGCAATGCCCGGTGCGAACGTGATGCCCAAGCCTGCGGCCAGGGCTGCAACCTCATAAGGATGGTTATATGCCCAGTCCTTGATCTGTTCAAGCTCTGTCATCGCGCTGAGGCTGGCAAACGCTACCGGATCAAAATTGGAAAACGCTTCGCCGAGCAAACCCTTCACTTCTTTGGCTGCTGCTCCGACGGTCTCCTTGACGTTCATTTTGGCTGCTGCCTCTTGCACGCTGGCGATTTCGTGGCCGGAAAGCGATTTGAGGTCGAATGCTGCGGCCGACACACCAATGAGGGCGCTGATCATGGTAAGAGCCTTCATCGCAGTGATTTGTTCTGAAGTCTAGGCGTAGAAGAATAGTCTTGAATCCCACAAGCGCAACAGTGCAGGTGTTTGTAACACGAGAGGCAAAGATGTGGTAGAGTCGGATAAAGATCTGAAACGTGTTGGTTGGTTCAGAGCTTGAGCAAGCCCCGAGCTGGAATGAGTCTTTCAGAGCCCAAAGAGCAAACAGAATAGAGCCTTGGGTACTGAGACACGACTTGACTCACTTCTCGAACTCTACCGAGTTGGTCGGCCTCCCGCAGGCGGGTCAATGTAAGCTAGAGTAACATCTCATTTCTAACGCCCAACCTTGTCTGAACGATCACGATCAAGTGTCTAATTATGATTGGCCCTTCTCAAGATTGCCTTTTTCATGGTAAATACAATACTTGTTAAGCCTCCACTGGCGGCAAATTGGCCTTCGCTGGCCCATTCACACAGACGCCAGTCTCCGAAAACCTGCTCCCATGAATGGGGCAGTCAAATGACTTCTCTGCCGGATTCCAGCACACGACACCCTTCAAATGGGGGCACAACGCGCTCATTTTGGTCACCTGGCCGTTCGCATCCTTGTAGACAGCAACGGGCTTCGATGTCTTTGGATTGAGCACAGCGCCCTGTCCCGGCACGAGGTCTTCAATATCGGTGATGTCGGTTTCGAGGAACCTCTTGTACTGCAAGTTGACCTGGACATCATGCTTGATCATGGAAACGGCAGATTTGGCAATAGATGCTAGTCGGCTCGGGGAGTAGAGCTTGGCCCACGCGGGATCCGCGTTGCCATCGATCTCGTCCGCGATGAGCTTGCCGGCCAGCACACCATGGGTCAGGCCGTTGCCCGAGTCGCCAGTGATAACAAAGATGCGATCACAGCCCTGGTTCTTGCCGATGAAAGCCATGTAGTCGACCGGCTCGTTGACCTGGCCGCTCCACTTGTAATCCACCGACCCTGCCTGCGTGAAGCGCTCGCGGACCCAGTCTTCGAGCTCCTGGAAGCGGTTCTCGGGCCCTTCCTGGCCGACCTTGTGGTCGCAGCCGCCGACGATCATGTAGTCGTCCTTGTCGTCGCAGGCGGTCAAGCGGACATACTTGTACTCCTCGGCCGAGTCGTAGATGAAGCAGTCTTCCACAGAGCCCTTGGGCACGCGGATCGCGATGGCGTACGTGCGCATGTACTCCATCTCCACGATGACGCTGATCTTCTGCAGAGGGATGCACGTGGCCTCCACGGCGTAGGCACACTGGATGGTCTGGCCGCCCTCTGTCTTTACCTGCACGCTCTTCTGCCCAATGCCCAAGACTTCGATGCCCTTTTCTTCAGCCGTCATCATTCGAGTGTGGGTGTAGCACTTGAAGTTGGGCTGCTTGTGAAGCCACTTCATGATGCCGACCAGGTAGAGGGTAGGGTGAAAGGCGGCTTGATCGAAAAAGACCACCCCGTCTCGCTGGTCGGGCTTGCCATCCCATCCTTTGATGGTGAGGCCTTCTTGGAAGACAGCCCTCAAGCCGAGGTCTTTGGCCATCTCGGCTTCGGCCTTGAGCTCCTTCAGATCTTCGGCATGACGCTTGTCGTCTCGTTCGTATTGCGAGATTTCGTAGCCGGGGACGCGACGATACTCGCAGTCGATGCTGAGGTTCTTTGCGATCTCGCCGACTCGTTCGAGGGCCCAGGTGTGGCTGTCGGCGGCAGCCTGGGCTCCCTCATTGCCGTGCTTCTCTTTGACGTGTATGTAGTGGTCATCGAGGGCGTTGGCCAAATGCCCACTCGTTCTTCCAGTCTCACCGGAGAGCACGTCTCGGGCTTCGATTAGGACGACATCTTTGCCACGAGAGACGAGCTCATAAGCGACTGAGATGCCGGATATACCAGCTCCTATGATACAGACCTCGGTCTCCAGGTCGTCCTTGAGCTGTTGGAACTGTGGGCGGTTTGCATACTTGTCCTTGTGCACCCACACGGCGTCTGTGGCGCCAGAGGTCTGCATAAATTGCTGGCGCCGCGAGGCTGCTGATGTCGACATCTTGAGGATGTGTGACAAAGAGATTGTAGACGTGCCCAAGGTCTTCAATGTAGTAATTCTCGGTCGAAGTGCACGGAAGAAAATATTCATCGTCCACTACGCATCTTCAAGGACTTGTGTAGAACAATTGCAAGGTGCACCATCAGAGGCTGGATGAACATGTCGAATTACATGTTAGATTTAGAGCAAGTGCAAAGATAAGGGAGGAAGGCACAGAACTGCTTCCGGATGGTTTGCTCCGTGAGCGACTTGTGAGCATCACCGTTTACTTTCTTCTCAGATCTGATTGGAGCGATCCAACGAGCCAGATGCAGGTACGTGCCGTGGCTTTGTCTGTGATGATCTTTCGACGTCACAATGCCGCGTTTCTTATTAGCTCTCGTGTGAAAGCGGGTGGGGTCTCGCATGCCGTAACCACCTCGTCACCGCACTAGCTTTGTCGACTTCCATTAATTACTTTACAAGCCATGACCAGTCTGATGATGCACTAATATTCGTAGAGTGAATGGCCTGCAAGGAGCCGACGATGACAACTCCTGGTTCACCGTCGCAGACTGGGCTTGCCTGCTGGTGACTGTAAAATGCAGGAGCCAAGCGCATGGAAGAAATCACTTGCATCGGCACAGGTCATTGATATGATTCTTTCACAAACTTCCAATTCGGTCATGGAGATCGGTAGTTGTATCCTTGCGCTAGCCCTCCCTTCCGAAAATAAAAAGGGCCTTCTAGGCGGCATCGCGGGGGTTCTCTGTCACCCCTACCGGCAGGCGAGCTGTCGGGCCCTTGCCGGCGACCAATTTTATGCATGCGTCAAGGCTTTTATGATTTCTGTTGAAACTGTGACAGTTGGGGTGGAAGGCGTGGTGGCACAAAGCCTGCAATGGTAGGACATATTCCACCAAGGAAGAGAAATTCCTCATGTAGCAAACCAGTTTGGAATTAAGAGACATGCTATGCTCCGGCAATCGCATCTCACGATTACCCTGGAGCGTTAATTCTGACTCTTTTGTCTTGGTGTCTCGATCTGCAACGCAGCACCGGAAAATGGTGTGGTACCGAACGGAAGGTATCCAGGAGGTATGCGTCAGGTAAAAGATGAGTGAAGGAATTCTGGTCTATTTAATAGATGTGTATAAGCCTGCTGGACAAGAAAGCCCGTAGTATCTCATGATCTCATCCCTACCCAGTTCCTGCGCACAAACATCCACTTTCACTTGTCCTTCCCATCATGCTTAATATCTTTCTTAGACCGATTGTGGCCGTCCTGCTCACCATGCATTGCAAAAACAGGGAAGATGTGGTGAGTAAGTGTAAAGGAGCAAGTAAACCCATAGTCTAGCGGCTTCGATCAAAACACAGTTGATACGCTGCACTGGCACCTTATTAGGACTTTGACTGTGATAGACTTTGCACTCCCTAACCTATTGTACCCATTAAATTTAGCGCTTCGAGAAATTGAACCATATTGAACGGGTCTAGGTTAACACCCATTCAACGGTTGCCTTTGTTATTGGCAGGAGTAATCTGCTGTAGGCTTCCGAGTTTATTTCAACCACGTCTTGGTTCCAGTGCTTCGCGAGGTTCCGCCCAACCCGGGCCTGAAACGGCTGGGCTACAATCCCCGCTGCCTGCGGCGACGTAAATAAGAACTCAGAGGCTGTTACCTTTGCCAACTTATACCTTTGACATAATCACATTATCGAGAGCTTCTACTGGTTTCAGATTGTTATGCAGGGCAAGTTCGGCGAAGGCGAAGTGGGGAGTGCACACCGGTGCCACATCACGACTGGAGGTGCTATTATGTTTCGTATTATGCAAACACGAATGACAAATAACATGTATTCTACACCTCTCCCGGCGATCCGGAATTCTGGCTGCGTCACAGCATGATCGACCTCGTGTATTGGGTTTGGCAGCTGCAGAGTCTGGAGACTCCCTGTCGGCTGTTTCGGGAACGCTGATGGGCCCTGGTTTTGTTCCTAAGCGGAATGGCACTTTGGACGATGATCTTGAGATGGGATGGACGGAACCGACCCGGAAGATGAAGGAATTAAGCAACAATATGGGTGCTAACGAAGGTCGGTTATGCTACATGTATGTCTGATCGACGCCTGATCATTCAGATCGACAACCAAGCCTTTGGAGATCTGGACACGGAATAGATTATGTAAAGGGGACCATTTAGCTTTAATGCTCAATGGGGAGGATACTGGTATAGCAAAGGACGGATCTAAATTAAGCAGATGATTCTATGGTTTCTTCTGTTCATTGGTCCTATAGTAGTGATGCAAACAATCAAAGATGTAGGTTACTTTAAGATGGCGGGAGGTGTGGGACCAAACAATTTAATCATTCACAACACCAACATCCACTGCTCTTTAGTTTATGAGACCAGAGAGTCCTTGTCCTTGTGACAAAAGAAGACCGGTGGCTCTCCTTCCCAGCTACAATCTCTGGCATAGGGTAGAATGCATCATCGAGAAGGTGATCTCCCAGATTCGTCCGATTTGTACCAACATCTGATCGCAAGCCGAGGGCGACTGGTCCGGGACAAGAGACTTTTCTACAACTTACCAAGTAAGCCCACAGACGCTGGCATCTCCGAGGGTGTTGATATGTGCAAATGTCTGCTCCCAGCAACTCTCGCCAGCTTGTGTCTGCGCTTGCGGCGCGTCTTGTAAGACACGGTATATAGCTCGGCGCTAGGTAAGAAAGAGGAAAGTCTGGATGTACGCTCAGACGCGCTGTTCCTTCGGCGAAGCACACGGTTCTGAGCTGGGACACACACAACCCCCGGTCCGGAGTCCTTCCAGTTTCTCGCGCCTGTAAAAGTCTTTGCTGGTGGGTGCGCACAGACAGTTCTGTACCCATGAATAGGCGTCAATAGCTGTCCTGGGGAAACAGGTGATGACCCCTACTTTGTAGTGCATGAACAGGTTGGGGATCTGCGACCGGGCCTGGCCGGGAGCACGGACGGCGGTGCGGAGGATGGGTCCATGCTATGTCAAGGTAGGATTGGATGACAGCTGGCATCTCGCTTTTGTTGCCACACGCGAGACCAAAGCTCGTCATCTCGCAGGAATGACAGAAGAGAGAACAGGGAATCCGCTCACCGCGTCGATCAGCAGAACCTCTTCGATCCCGGTCTGACAATGTTGCGCTCTGCAATGCTTAGCTGCAGTCAACTTTCTTCATGTGGCCTAGAATCATGTAGGACTGTTGCTGCCCCGACCGAGCTGGGTGCACAGATCTATCCCCTGGCCAAGTTCACCGGGATGAGGGCCTGGATTCCGGTTGCTAAATTTGCGCCACTCCCACTGCTATTTGCCTCCATCTACTCATCGCTCTCTCTGAACAAGGGATGCACAGAAGAATCAGTCTCATTGCGACTGAAGAGTCGCAACATTGGAACACTGAACTGCTAAGATAGCCCCAGGTTCGGAAGTCAGAGCCGAAAACTGGCCAAGACGTGATACCGATTAACACGCATGTCAGGGTCGGAGGTATAGAAGGCAGATGGGACGGTTTATATCCAGCATTGGAAACGAGGAAGAAATCATGCGGGGAAGTAGGAGTCTTGGGAACTTACGACATCATTGGTAGCCACTTGATTGGGGAACAGACCCAGCGTTGTGTCCCGGTATTAGCCAAGTTCTCACTCAAAACAATATCGGTATCGGCCACTGCCGGCTGCTCTTGGCTGCGAGAGCTACTGGTCGGTTTCTACACCCTCCCCCAGACCCAAGTCCATTGCGTGCAGGACGGCATCCCGTGCCTCCAAGAGCCACATGCAATATACGCTCGGGCCCCGTGCCCTGCTCGCAATCCGTTTCCCGCATCGAGCTTGGCCTCCACGTCGATCACAGCAAAATTCTTCATCGACTGTCTTTCCGGGGCCCTCCACCAATGCAAGCCCCATCCGTGCGTCAAGGACAAAGCAACAGGTGAGAACCTGTTTTGTGTGCGCCTGTTCGACGCTTGGACACACTCCGCCGAACCGCTTCATTGGGTGCGTGTGCTCTTGTGTCCAGCAGCTGGGATTTCCTTCAAGGGACTCGCGGGGTTGTCTCGGTGAACGCATGACACATGGTACATCTGAGTTCCGGCACAGGGGCAATTCAGCCGGATCGTTCTGGGCTGCCACCCTACCTTGGATTCAATGGTACTCTGGTTTCAGCCCAATGATTTGCGGCACTTCTTGTATTCTAGTACCACTTGTTCTCGTCGAACATCTGGACCACCGCAAGCCTCTCATCGGGCTGGACGGCCCATAATAAGACGGGCAGGGCCCGCCCTGCTGCTCGGTGAAGTATCGAAAAGAACCTGCAAGAAAAGGCGAGGACTCCTTGCAAACACAGCACCAAAACCCCAATTTTGCTGCTTTCTCGCCTGCCGCCGGTGCAGAAAGCCCGATATTAGGCGTCTTCGTGCTGGCTGTAGCTGCGGCCATCAGCGGCCGAGACCAAGAACCCGTTCACGCCGGTCGAGATGGCGACAACCGTGCCAAAGTTACCTCCCGCCGCGACCCAACTAGTACCCGTCTTCCCCACGTTTACGCCCGAAGAGCTCGCCGCGCTCCCTCACGATAATGCCGGGCCCAGGTTGAACGTCGTGATGTGGGTATTGATTGCAGTTTCCACCAGCTTCCTGGCCATGCGGGTCTACTGCAAGTTTGCACGCCATAACAGATTGTGGTGGGATGACCACATCCTGATTGCGGCTTGGGTTCGTTAATTTCATGATGATTCCAGAATTCTTTTCTCGCATTAACATTTGCCATAGGTTTGCATCGTCATCGAGTCATGCTGCCTCTCCTCCGCCATCAGTCTCGGCTATGGCTACCACATCTGGGATTCTCCGCTCGACTCTCGTATCATGCCGCTCATCAACGTTGCCGGGACGTTTACAATCATTGCCGCAATATGGTCAAAGACCAGCTTTGCCATCACCTTGCTCCGGCTGACTGATGGTTGGATGAAACGGGCGGTCTGGTTCATCATCATATCCATGAACATTGCCATGGGCTTGAGCGCCTTGTTCGCCTGGATACAATGCACGCCACTGCGCAAGGCCTGGGATATATTCATCCCCGGACAATGCTGGGACCCGAAGGTTATCATCTACTATGACATTTTCTCTGCTGGTAAGCTGCACAACCAATCCAAGTCTCTATCGCTCTCCATCGGATCTAAGTTTTATGGTAGCGTATTCGGCACTCATGGACTTCGCCCTCGCAATTCTGCCATGGAAGCTCATCTGGCGTCTGCAGATGAGGAGAAAAGAGAAAATTGGCGTGGCTCTGGCTATGAGCATGGGTATCTTGTGAGTTGAGCGAGTCGTTCTCTTCTCAAGTGGTCACCTGCTGACACCCAATACAGTGCTGGTGTGACATCCATCATTAAAATAACAAAGATTCCTACTCTTTTTAACCCAGACTTCTGTAAGCAAACTGTCCGTGTTTCCTTGACCATTGCAGTATTCTAACCCGCCATGAAAGATTTCCAAGTCGATCTCTGGATATGGGGCAATGCCGAGACAAATGTCACCATTGTTGCAGCCAGCATTCCTGTGCTCCGCGTCCTTGTCAAGGAGGTCAAGTCTTCAGCACGTCGATACTATGTCTCGACCGAGGACCATACGACAAACAGATCGGGCTACCGCAACCAGCACACAATCACCATATCGGCTGGTCGCAATTCGCGCCACCAGAGGATACGGTCACAGGACGCCCAGAGCGACAAGAGCATCCTGGACGACAAGCCAGGGATTGTGAGAACAAAGGAGGTTGCAGTCGAGTACCACAAAAGAGAGGAGCGTCGAGATGAGGATATCGAGCTGGGCCGGGTTGGGTGATTCTGGAGGTGAATCTTAGCAGCTATCAGGATTGATTCCATTGCAAAAGGAGTCTGGGTGTTGCGGGATTTTTCTTTTCTTTTCTTTTCCTATGTTCTTTTTTCGGTTTTAGTATGATATCCCAAAAGCCATTGAACCTTTCACGAAGTCGCTGTGCACCACGCCATGTGAGAATGCCAAATTTGTCACACCCTCTGCCAAAAGGAGCAACCTTCCATATCAGGATTTCTCTGCGCTAATCATTCACGTGAACTAAGGTCTCAAAGACGTTGGAAATCAGCTGGACTACCACGAAGCACCATGTCAACTTGCATCACTTATCAAGCAGCACTGATTTGAACACAGTACGGCGGCTGCGTAGTGGCAATTCCACAGACTCTGGGGAATTTCGTGGCCACTTATGCCGATGCGCACTCTAAGCAACGGTGATAGGAGTTAGGTCTTATGCAACCCCTTCAAGGCTGGAGTTCGGCGTTAAGGTCGGGCGATGACACACCTCCACTTTAGATTATCGCGATGGTGCGACTTGACACGGGGGAAGAAGACCAACGCTGTCTACTCAACTGTGCCCAGGCGTCTTATGTAAAAGGCTGGGCATCGCTGGTTCAAAAATCGGCCTCGAAAAGGAAGTCGCAGACCATTACGTTTCACTTGGATCTCAAATCTTTCACGCAGTCAACTTTTAACAACAAGTATGGTGAAGACATTCCAGTTCAGGGACATCCAAGTACCGACGCCCGGCTTCGGCGCGATGGGTCTGAGCTTTGGCCTGGGAACAGAAATGGGCTATGAGGAAGCCGAGCCAGTATTACTGAAGGCAATCGAGCTGGGGTGCACGTTCTGGGACACTGCGGTAGGTTCAATCTGAAAGCAGTCAATACTCTTCAACTAGAAAGCTCGATGATTGACTGTACCAAGGTCGTTTACGGTGCGGGTATCAATGAAAGACTTCTTGGAGACTTCATAAGAAAGCATAATGTGCGGGACAAGCTCTTCAGTACGTCTCTAAACATGCAAACTTGTAAGGACGAGACTCGAAGTCACTAATCCCTTCTTCTGTAGTTGCCTCAAAATGTGGCTTCAACTGCTTGAATGGCGGAGACGGAAGTGTCACGAACTCTGCCTCGCACATCAAGTCCTATATTGAGGGAACCATTGAGAGACTTGGCTTTACGCCAGACCTCTACTACCTTCATCGGATCGATCCCAGTATGATTGTCGGGCGATTCCGGTTCAAGTTCGATCGATATACTAACATGATGCGAGGAACACCTCTTGACGAATCCATTCCGGCTCTGGATGAGCTTCGAAAGTCCGGCAAGACCAAATACATCGGGTTGTCCGAGTGCTCTGCCGCAACTTTGCGCAAAGCCAATGCTAGTGAGTTCATATGAAACAATTTTTCATCTCTCGGTGAATAGCATCAGATAGTGACAAGATTCTTCCAAGTCGCACCGATCGATGCTGTCCAAGCAGAATACTCGGCATTTGAGACCGTGCACGAGACAGACGCCCTCATCGCCACCACTAAAGAACTCGGTGTCGCTTACGTAGCATACAGCCCTCTAGGCCATGGGTGGCTGGTGGACGACTTCGCGTACGAGTCTCTGGATGACTTTGCGCCATCCGACTTCAGACGGACATGTAAGTCGTATGGTCTGGGTACCGACTCAAGCGGACTAAATACTTATTTGACGACCTAGCTCCTAAGTTCCAAGGAGAAAACTTCTACAAGAACAAGGCAATCGTTGATGAGATCCAGAAACTGGCGGCTAAGCGAGGTTGTACTACAGCACAGATCGCGCTGGCGTGGGTTGCTTCACGGGGCATGATCCCCATCCCCGGCACCACCAAGCCGAAGCGCCTGGAGGAGAATTGGGCATCACGGGATATCGAATTGACGGACGAAGAGCAGAACGACATGAGAAGATTGATCAATGAGGCTAAGCCCTCTGGGGACAGATATGATGCTGCCCGGTCGAAGCTAGTTGGTAATTAAACGACAGATGGCCGCTGGCTTTGCTGCTGCCAATGTTCCGGTGGAGGGACGGAAGTGAAGTGGTATTACCAACTTCCCCATTTCCCCGCAATCCTTTCCGGATGCCGGCTGGGGTTGTTGGCATCATTCCGGTGGAAGAACGTCAGCGACTGGAGTCAAAGACAATTTCCCCGCAGTCCCTCCCAGCTACCAGGTCTAGATATCTAGTATTGATCCACATGCGCTGAGAAATACAGAATGCTGGGAATTGATAGGCGTCTTGCAAAGAGTAGTCTGTCGTTTAGCCTGAACCGAACTCCCTAGGTGATCCTTCAACCTTCTTTTTCTAACCCGGAAAAGACCTTTTCTGGTATATGAATCACATGGAAGGTGGGGACATGTCCACCAACGTCAGAGCCCTTATGCAGCATGATATGGACATGGTATAATCTTTGCAGTTGCCCCGGCAAATCAAGTCGGAGGCGAGAGTGGGCTTCGATATTGGAGGGGTCAGGAGCTTCTTTTCCAGAAACCTGTCACCGGTCCTTCGATAGCCAAAGGAACCCTGAAGTTCATCTATATAAACCGGGTCTGTCACCGACCTGAAAGCTTATGTGGGCACTTGGAAAGGACAGCTGCCGTAAAACACGTTCTGAACCGTGAGGTTGATAGCTACAATGTTCGTCAGAATGCGACAGCAGAGCTACTTGTATGAACTAGCAGCCCTCTTTATTGGCCTGCTAGGTCTGCAAGTTGCCACAGCTGCCGATGAACGCGGCAACCTTACCGTCCGTACCATTACTGGAGTGTACACGGGACTTGTTAACGAAGACTATACCAATGTTCGAGAGTTCAGAAGCATTCCTTACGCACAGCCACCTGTCGGATCACTAAGATGGATGCCTCCCGTAGCTGTCGCTCCAAGCGGCAAACATCGCTACTCCCAACGGTTCGGACCGACTTGCCCACAGTACATGACCAAGAACCTGACGCTGTGGAACTCTAATATCACCGACTTCAAGATCGACATGGGCGGGCAGAGCAACACTATTGGGGCCATGGCTCAGACAAGCACCGAGGATTGCCTCAGCCTGGCTATCTGGACACCACTGAACATCTCATCCAACGACAGCCTTCCTGTCGCAATCTTCATACCAGGAGGTAGCTTCACAGGCGGTGGAATTACAGTTCCGTACCAGAATCCGGCCCCGTTTGTCTCACGTCATAACAACATCATCGTGGTGACCCTCAACTACCGCGTCACCATCATGGGATTTCCCCATGCAGCTGCGCTAGACGACCACAATCTCGGCATCATGGACCAGCGCATGGCTGTCGAGTGGGTCAAGGCCAACATCGCCAACTTTGGCGGCGACCCGGACCGCATGATCCTCTGGGGCCAGTCCGCCGGCGCCGTCAGCGCCGATCTCCACAGCTGGGCGTACTACGACAACCCGCTTGTCAGGGGCTACTTCCTCCATTCCGGCACCGCTGCCGTCCAGAAAATACCGGCGGATCCGACTTATACCAACTTCACCTTCGTGGCGCGGAACCTGGGTTGCGATTTTCCCAACGACCCGGCGGCAGAGCTCGCGTGCATGCGCCAGGTTCCCTTGAGTCAAATCATGAACTTCGTCGGGCAATATCAAGAGAATAACACCAAGCCCTCCATCACTTTCAAGCTGATCCCGGACGACAAAATATTCTTCAACAATTACTCCGCCAGAGCCGATGCAGGGCTGATGGCCAAGGTCCCGGCGCTGATATCTACGACATCGAACGAGGACTCAAGTCTGTACGACTATCCCGTCAAGAATGTCGCGGCCGGGCCCAATATGACGGATGTGGTAAGGCTGCCTCCTTCGTATCCCTTGATGTTATTGGTCACCTGTGATTTGGTAAACAGAAAACTAACGGCAGTACGTGGCCAGGACCTACAAACCATCAAGGGCTTTGTCTGCTTGGCGTCCAACACTACGAATTGGCGGGCCCAGAACAACCTGACTACATACCGATTCCAGTACGCCGGCAACTTTTCGTCGGTGACGCCGCTAGGCTGGATGGGCGCGTATCATGCGAGCGACATCCCCATGATCTTTGGCACGTACCAACTACGCCCTGGAATCACGGACGAGGAAAGGAAGACGGCGGAGACGATGCAAGACTACGTCGCCGCCTTTATCGCAGACCCTGAGAACGGACTTCGGAATAAAGGTTGGTCGCCAATGGATAAGTCTGTGGCCGTGGGAGGGACAATGCTTCGATTTGCGGCCCAGCATGGGCCGCTGGTGCAGGAAGTATCAACGCACGAAGTTGACGACGCATGTGTTAAAGGCGCACCGTACAATAGGAGTCCTTGATGCCCCTAATGAGTTATCCAGGGTATCTGCAGACTAATAGAAGGGAGAGTCTCGCAATACTATCATCAACTCAAGCTTTGAAAATGCATATCGATGTCTAAGTGGATGCTGGGTCCTCCCCAACCAAGATCTTCTCAGTGAACGACCCTCGCAGTCACATCTTATGATCTGTCCAAGTGGCGTAGCGCGTAGTCTCTGGTTGTATACAGGTGCTTTTATTCTTTGAAGAAATCAGCAAGACTTCCCTTGTACTAGTCTATATCGGAACAAATTTCGTTCCTTGAATGTCTTCAATTCTTTGCACCGCCTTTTGGTATCCAGTCGAGGTCTGTAATCGTTGTGCATATTTGTCGAGGGCTGGATATTGACTCTTGTCGATAATCTGCTGAGTGAATGCAATAATGATCGGGATGCTCATCTGAATATCTGCAGCAGTCAGATCAGATCCGCAGAGAAAAGGGCCACCATCAGGTGCTGAGCCCAGTTGCTGCTCGAGAAAGTCGAAGTGCGTCTTGATCTCTTCATCCAGAAACTCAGTGCCGAGTTTAGTGGCAACTAGTCCGGTGATGGGCCTGACATAGAAGGGAACGGCCGGTCCTTTGAGAGCTGGGTTGTCCAATTAGTCTCTAAGCGTGTGGGAAACGATGCCGTGGCTTAGAATTAATTTACCATTCATGATCAGCTGCACCTGGATGGGCGACATCAAGCTGCCTTCGGCGTAGTGCATGAAATATCGATACCGCAGCCAAGATTCGGTCTCCCCTCCAACTTGATTTTCTTTGCCAGTTACGAATTTCCTCGGGGTAAGCTTCTCGTCGCCATAGTGATCCAGTAGGTACTCCATGATGGGTCCTGACTCTGCGAGGGTGATCGCCTGTGCGCTGGGCGGGTGCACTTCCAAGAGCGGTGATTTGCCCAAGGGATGTACGCGTTTGAGTTCAGGCGGCGCAGTGCCCGTAGCACTTCGCTTGTACGTCTTGATCTCATATGAAAGATTCAGTTCTTCCATGATCCACATAATGCGTTGCGCCCGAGAGCGTTCAAGCCTGTAGTTCAGTTAGTGATGATTGTGAGACTGGAAGAAACGCATCACTGAACCAACCAATGGAGTGTGAACTTGGCACCCTGATTTGAAGCCATTCCGTTTACCTACGTCTTTGTGAGTCTTTGAAATGAATAGAATCCGGCCGTAGAAGTGGATGCACGATCAAGCCACTTCGACGGGGGTGATCCTGAGCATTTGTATCTTCTTGGTCATGCCTGAGACGAATTCTATCATAACTTCCGCCAATGAGAATCGTTGAGTTAAACAGTGGGACTGCCCAGCAGCTAGATTTGAGTGGAGGATTAAGTTACAAGCTGACTCAGCTTTGCAATTCTTGAATGTCCACTCTGATTCCGCCTATCCGACACTTTCGCTCTCCGGCAACGCCTCTCGCTGACAAAGTACAGTTGGCCATGAGTAGCGGTGCTGACCCAGTCGCAGCTACGGACAGGCGAGGAGCTGCGGCTAGAAATAGGCGTGGGCCATTGAGTTGCCTCCCTTGTCGACAGCACAGATTGAAATGCGACAGGAAGGTACCCTGCCAGAGCTGCGTGCGGTGGCAGCGAACAGCCGAATGCGCTCGATGTCCGGCGGCCGGCGCAGTTGCTCGACAGCAGACGATTGGGAACAAGCCTCGAATACGCCCAATCCAAACAGTGGCCAAAAACCATGTTCGGCATGCTGGCAATCCTGTGCCATCAATTGCCGGCCCTACTCCGGAGGTGACCGTTGTAGCTCCGAAGACAAGGGTAATCACGCCTGGGCACCGTTCGATCCCAATCTTTTCAATTGTCCCAACGAATCATTTGCTTCCTATATTTCACGCGCAAGTGCTACCGGAGGGGCTCACCACCGAGAGGTTTTGGAGAGCCCAGTTGGTGGCATTGCTGCCAACCCGGAACCAGACTGACATGCTCGTTGCTTTCTTCATGGACAATATCAATTTGGTATTTTCCGTCATTCACGAACCCTCTTTTCGCAAGACCTATCAGCATTTCTGGGATACGACGACGAGGAGAGAAGACACAGACTTGACCTGGCTGGCGCTGCTGTTCACAGTGCTTTCCTTGAGTGCGACGTACATGCCAAAGGGCTTCAGTGCTACAGTCGGATTTGAGGCATCAACGATTCAAAAGCTCGCTCACACATGGCACTCTGCTTCTAGACAAGCTTTACATGCTGGTTGTTTTGAGCACAAGTCACAACTGAACCAGCTAGCCGTCTTCATCAACAGCCAGCTCTACTGGTACGCTGTGGCCGACATCGAAACCCGCAATGCCTGCTTTGCTCAGGCGGTGCATAGCGCACAGATGCTGCGGCTGGACCGGGAAGGTACCGGAGCAAATCCTCTCGAGACTGAAATGCGAAGACGGATCTGGTGGGAACTCTGGATTGCCGATGCCGATAGGTCTCTGAATTATGGACGTACGCCTCTGATCCAAACTCGGCCTGATCGCATACTGTTGCCTTCAAACTGCAACGACAATGATATCACAGAAAACTCAATCACAAGCCAACCCGAGCAAAAAGCAACAGAAGCAAGTGCGGCTATTGCCCGTGCCAAGTACTTCCGCATCTTTCACCGTCTCTTCGACAATGACAGAGAACACATGCACTCTTGGGAGTACGTCAGTGCCCTGGACCGCGAGATCCAAGCTCTGGATGACGAACTGCCCTGGTTCTTTCGGCAGAGTGAGTGGGACAGTGGCAGGCCATTCGTCGATCACACTTCGGTCATCCCACAAGCCCTGATCTGGCAGCACTATGTCATCCATAGCTCCGTGCGTATCCAACGACTCCGCATGATGAGGCCGTTCCTTGCCACACAACCCGCCGCCTTGGAGGTTAGTGTCCAGGCCGCAGGTGAAGCTTTGGACAGCTATAAGAGTCTTCGATCACATCCCATACTGCGGTCCAATCCCAAATTCCAGATCACCGCGCACCAGGCTTACAGCAGTGCGGTGCAACTCGCTGCTTTTCTACTAGTGGAACGAGTTGCTCCCGATGGGCTGCGAGAAGATATCGAGATGGTCATCAACGATTTGAAAGACAATCCCCTGGACCTACCGATGGCGGATGCGGCACACAAGCTCTTAGGGCGAATGCTCTGGATCCATGACCAGCGAACGGGTGGAGAGACTTCTGGGGTTGCCGACTCCATTGCTCCTGAAATCGGGCCTGTCTTTGGCGGTGAGAGCTCAGCGCGTGACTATCTGCAAAGTCGCAGGAGCAGGCCTCCGAGAGACGATGTCGCCGTAGCAGATGATGTGCTCATTGGGGCGAATAGTCTTTTTGACCTATTCGACACGGATTGGTCCACGGATCAGTTCGGACTTGGTGACTGGATAACCCTTTTCCACGATACCGGCGGCATCTCCACAAACGAATAATGAAGTCGCATCGCCCAGACCGAATCCAAGCCATGATCTGCAGCTGGCGAGATGTTTGTAAAGTCTAGACCTCGCTTGGACTCAGGCATAGCAATTTCAGCAAAGTAACGCCGACCAAAGCAAATCTGATATCGCCAGGCGAGAGCATCTGGGCAAGATCGACAAAGAATTGAACTTACCTGCCACAATTCTTGTGTGTTTTCAAGGGCTCGAGATATCTTTGGTCAGCTGAGCAGGGCCCGACAGAGGGGAGTATGCTGCAGGAGAATTGTGGCCAACTGAGACGTGCAGCAATAGTCCACCATTACCGGATGAGAGAATTACTTTTTCTCTGAGAATATGAGGCCTTTCAGGAGCAACAATTCGATCAGATGCAGGATTGGCCGCATCGAGCTGCTCGAGTTGCAACATCCACATGGCTCCATCCATCCCTCATGCAAGCGGTCGTATTCCAACTAGGAAATACTCATTTTCTCGCATATGAGTAACTAATCGGGCCATCGAATGGAGCACATATGCATGTCTTGAATCCCTGGCGGTGATCCGGGCATCCGAACCCAAAGGCTAGGTTCAGCCGCCGAGGCCTAAGCTTTGCTGGCTTCTTCCGAGGCAGGCAAAGACACCAAGATAACAAAGGGCATCCCCTGAAGGGGCGTCGATCACAATCAGGCAATCCATCCCTAGACTCAAAACTGCGGCGTATTGCGCTGCGCGCTGACAGCAAAGTCGTTGCTTTTTGCTGCAGGGCTAACGGTTAGCGTTGCGGGGTGGGAATGCGGTTGACGCCTGTTAGTGGCCGCCGCCAACACAAACGGCGACTACGGCAATCCCACCGCTGCCGTTCCTGGGCAAGGGAGGCCGCTGCCCCGTATTTCCACCGTCTCCTGGCGGCGATGACAACTGGGGCTGACCTCGGATTGGGGATGGCGTTGCTGCGGGCATTGCGCAATGCCAGGCTTGTCAAACTTTGAGGGTGGGTTCAACGGGCACACTTTGCTCTTAGGCTACTGGAGTCACTGGCGAGCAAGGACACCTCTCTTGCTGATGCTATTCCCGGTTAGGCATGGGCCTACAGTTCCCTTTGGCGCGCTATCACATCCATGCAGGGGTTCAAGGGGCTCTCTCAGTGCCGGATTTAGACTGGTATCCTACTCTCATGCGGTTACTAAGATTTCCTTGCTTGTTCAGCCGGCGAGTGAATGTAACGGGGCTGTCCTTGATAGCCGAGCTGTCACCGCGGTGAGGTTAGCACGATGGAGCTGGGGTGCTGTGATCTTCCCAATGGCGGCGATATTCCCTTGCACATCCCCATTCACTTTGGCCGCCCTGATGGAGCAGCTGCAGCCACCAGGGAGAGGTCGGAGGAGTCGAGGTGGAGGAGGGCTGGCCAACACGAAGAGAGTGCTTAGATCAGTCAAGCGTGCCTGGGTGGCTACCAGCGAGGATTTGGGATATAAAGGTCGGGCCAACTGACCTCCATCCAGATTCTCGGAAGGACCAGCAGCAAGCAACAAGAAGCCAACCGGGATAGACATCAGTCAACTTTGACAGCCTGTGCATAGATCCTCACCCCAGTCTCTCTTTAAACTCTTTACATCTCGTCACTCTTTCCGGGATATCACTCTTTACCCTTCATCATGTCTCTCGGACCTCTCATCGGACAGCTGGACGTCAACCTGCTCCCGGGCGCTGCCTGCCTCATCGACATCCAGGCCATTATTGGCAACTGCCCTTCCATCGTCATCGACACGCACAAGAACCCCAATGTGACCGTGGTCGGCCCCGATACCATCTGCGTCACCACGACTCCTTCTCTGCCTACCAGCGTGAGTATACTAGCCAGCGTCAGCTCGCCAACACCTAGTATCTAGATTGCTAACATGCCTATAGACGGGCGGCAACTCTGCCACTACCACTCCCAACGCGCCATGCACCCGCGGTTGCGGATACCCGACCAAGCCGGTCAACCCTCCCTCATCATCCGCCCCGAACAAGTACCCCACCATCCCGCCTCCTGGTGACTCCACCACCCTGAAGACGTCGACCCGGCGTCCTCAGTACACCACCACTTGGTGCCCTGATGACGAGACCACTGGCAACTCTTCGCCCACCAGCTCCGGAAACGGAAATGGCAACGGCGGCTCCTCTACTGGCAACGGTGGTGCTTCGTCGACTGGGAACGGCAATGGTGCTTCGTCGACTGGAAACGGCAATGGTGGTTCCTCCACTGGCAACGGCGGTGCTTCATCGACTGCTTCCCCGACTTCCTCTACTGTCCCTACCTCCACCCCTCAGTGCCAGGAGCCCCTTCTCACTCTCGACCTGTCTCTCCTGGGCATCGACGTCGCCGACCTGAAGGTCTTCCTCGACCTCGCCGGCCTGCTCGAGGGTCTTCTGGACACCGTCGGCGACCTCCTCGGGGGCCTCCTCGGCATCGGCGGCAACAAGAAGGATCCCAAGCCTATCAACCGCCAGTTCCAGCCCCACTGCGGTACTTCTCTCGGCAACGGCACGACCACCACCGCCACCGATGCCAAGGACTGCCTGGCCAAGTGCCAGGAGGATGGCATCAAGCTCACCCTCCAGCTTGGCAAGCTCAACGACTGCCTGGGTGCTACCATCAAGGATGGCGTCGCCGTCGACAACTGCCTGTACGTCCTCGGCCAGGAGAAGGACATCCTCGACCTCAACGCCGAGCTCCTGGGCGATCCCCACGGTACCACCTACACTCCTGTCACCAAGAAATAGAGGGGGTGTCTTTTCACATACATATATTTGGGACAAACGGTTTTTGATACACTAGGCGCTGGAAAAAAGAGACCTAATCACTGGTGGCGTGGATATATAAGAAGCCAAGAATGACGGCGTGCTGGTGTTTTCCTTCTTACTAATCCTTTATTATCATCTCTACATTAGATAGTGGCTGTTCAATAGAAAAAGAGATATTTCAAAACCCACACGCCCCTGTCCATGCCTAATACTAATACCCTTTTCGATCATGAGTGAAAATGCAAATGGCACCAATGGCTCTGAGCACCAGACCCAAGGCTCTGATATCAAGACTGTGCGTCACTAGTACTTCTTGGAACTCGGATCGACGTCATCAGCAGCTCTTCTCACCTCTCTCGCCACACCAGCCATGGCTTCATCTCGCGCGCGCTCCGTCGCAGTCCTTGCATCAGCGGCCACCTGCCCGGCTCTTTGCGTGACTTGCTCCCTAGCCTCTCGAGTTACCTCGTCTACTGCATGAGACATCTCTCTCACCAGCCTGGGCTTATGCTCTTCGATTCCCGCCTCAATTGATTTTCCCAGACGCTGCAGCTCCTCCTCGGCCCTCTTCTCGTCATCCTGTAGTTGGTGCGCCGCTTCGTTCACGTCGTGCCCCTTCTTCTCGATGCGGGACTTTATGTTGCCGATCGTACCGTCCAAGCTCTTGAGCTTGCCCATGATGCCCTCGATCTTGGAGACGTCGACGCCGGCGATCTTGTGCGGCGGTTCCACGCCGAGACCGATCCGCGTCGGACTGTTGACCTGGATATTGCTCACCGAGTTGAAGCTGTCGGGCGTGTTCATCTCGATGTCGCGCTTCGTGTTGGCGTACATGGCCTCGATCAGGGCCACCGTCTCGTGCACGTCGAGGCCGCACCCGCGGCGCGAGAAGTCGCGCTCGCGCTGCTCGATGAACTCGCGGATCTTCTTCCACTCGCCGCCAAAGTACTTGAGCCGGCCGGGCAGGCCCGACCCCTTGAGGAAGGTCAGGAAGCCGGCGATGATGGTGTTGATGGCGCCGAAGGCCGTGATGGCCTTGCTGTTGACGGCGGCGGCGCCCATGGCGGTCAGCGCGGCGGCGACGATGATCTGCAAAAAGTAGCACGCGTTGATGACGACCGAGAAGACCTTGTAGCTGTCCTTGGCCTTTTGCTCCGAGTGCACGACGCGCGCGTACAGGCCGACGTTGGGCGCCGGGCGCGTGCCGGCGGGGCCGTGCGCGCTGAAGCCCAGGTGCGGCGACGCCGTGATGCCGAGCATGAGGCGGAAGAGCGTCAGCGGGTCGTCGTCGGAGGCCGTGCTCGGGTAGATGATGCCGCCGCCGCCGCCGTGCTGCGTCTGCTGCGAGGGAGCAAACGTCGCCCCGCCGAGCGTGGAGGTCATACCGACGGAACCAGCCGTTGCGGCCGCGTGCTCCTCGTCCAGGCGCCCCTCGGGAGGGTGCCGCTTGAAGGCGAGGCGCATGACGGACGACATGAACGAGGCCATGGCTTCGGCGTCGCTAGGTTCCTTGGGATGTTGAGAAAGGAAAGGTCTGACTGTGCAAAGAGTGTTATCGAGTTTGGAAAGCAACAGGAAACGGGACTCACGCCCTCGTCGAAGGAGCAAAGGCTCCTCGCAGGGAGTCTAGACCACAGTCGAATATTCTCCATTGTGTCCTTTTTCTCCCTCGTGCGTACACACACACGCGAGACCTCCAACCGGGGATGGCACATCATTGTGCAGTAGTACAACCTCAAGGGTCAGGCGCCGCGCATGTTAATAACGTTGTTCTGGAGCAAGAAGAATAGACTGGCCTAGGTGGTGATAGCACTTTACCGCCCGAAACAGGACTATTGGACGGCAAGGGCCGTTTAATGGGCGTGGTGCCGGGGAATCGTGATGATCATGCACGGCCGCTAGGCGGAAAGGGGTGTTCAGCTCGCCCATTGCAGAGCTGTGTTTCCCAAAACGGTCGACTGCGCACGCCGCTTGGACATGGGTGTGCACGACGATCGTCGGGAACAAGCAGATATTCGGGTTGGTGTTATCGGAATCCCAACGGTAAACGAGAATTCTGACCAGTGTGTCCAAGGCCGTTTGATTAAAGTTGCTCAGGCTGATTTGTGAATACTATTTTTACGTGACTTTACTGGCTGAGCCAGCCTCTTCGGGCATGTCCTTCCTTCCGAGGCTGGAAAAGAGTACTGGCCGCTTGAGAAACACCTACCCAGTCCTGAAATGAATGATTCTGCACAGGGCTAGTCGTGAAGCCACAGCCTCAGCCAAGCAACAATAGCATTCTTTGCCCGAATCATCGCCTTCCTCTCAACAATATCATCCTGCTTACCCCGCGCCGCGAAGCCATGTACAACACCAGGGAAGAATTGAAAGTCATACGGTAGCTGCAGCTCCGGTATCTTCTTGTTAGCGTACTCCCGTAGCTCCGGGGTGAACATCATGTCGTGCTCCGGCGCCAGTATTTGGACGGGCACCCCAACGGCGTCGATCTCTTCCTTGGTCAGAAGACTCGGATGCGCTGTCGCTATGCAATCGACAAGGTTGTTTCCCCTTGCACCGAGCTGGAAAACAGCCCAGCCGCCAAAGCAGAAGCCGATGACGCCAATACGCTTGTACTGGGAGCGAAGGACCTTGGCACAGGAAAATATCTCGTCTCGCCTTGCGTCCTTGCTATTGCGAGCCATGAACCCCTTCATATCGAGTGACTGCCAATTCCCCGATGCAAGGACTTCGGAATCAAGGACCTCGCCGCCGAAGCTGGTGACCGCACTCGTTAGCAAGGGCCAACTCAGCTTCATGGTTTGCAAGCTCACAAGTCTGGTAGGTACACCGTAGCATCTGCTTCTTGAGCATAGTGATCCGCCAAGAGCCTCAGGTTCTTGAACGTCCAGCCAAATGCATCATGAATGAACATGACAGCCGCATCTTTGTTCGCGCCAGAGATGTATGCTTTGTTCTCGCCCAGCTGCTCTTCGTGACCGAGCGGCTCTCCATCCCACCTAAAGCCCTTGAGGCAGCAGTCTGATAGAGCCATGGAATGGATGAGGGAGTGTAATTTGGTATTTAACAGCCTCTGAGGGGTCGAAATACTGCGGATAGTAGGTCTTCGTTTTGCAAGCTCAGGGTCAGATGGAAAATAACTCAAGTTCCAGCCTTCAACCCCGCATCCTGTACGTAGTGCTTACACGACATGCTGATGCTTCCCTCTCTGTGAACCATACGTCATTTATGCTGCTGTCTAAGCATTGTTTACTTCTAATCGACGACCCGTTAAAGCTTGAAGTTATGCACTCGGACTCGGCGGCGGAATCAAGGAACCCATCTCATTAGTGTCACTATGTTTCGTAGTGACTGGTGCCAATGCTAGATGCTAACCAGCTGGGCTCTCCTATGCAATTAGTACTTTCAGGCTACAAGAGAATAATTACTTTATTCATGAGTCCCATTTCTGAGGGGACTATCAAGAGAGCGACGTTGTCTGAGCCGCAGAGGAGGTACGATCCATCCCTTCGACAAAGACCTAGTTCAGACATCCCACGAGGGATGCCGGGATGCTATAGGGTGTCCTGCCTCAGCCAGTCAAAGGTGTCTAGCAGCTCGAAATTGAATATATCGTTCATGTCGTTTGGTATTCCCCAGTCCATCTCCGCTACCTCGCTGGTCGTCATTTGGACGCCGGGAGCGTTGAGCGTGTGGTCCAGTACCCGCTTAATGACTTCTTTCACCCTAGCACACAGATCATTGTTGGGCTGAGTTGGACCGACCCAATCGAGAAACCCGATCAAGAGGCTCAGTTGTTGTATGATCTCCGACCTACTTGGAAACGAGGCCGGTTGAGCTCCAGGGTCGCCAGCTCGTGGTCTCAGCAGGCTAAGACATAAAATACCTGCTGCGGGCGTAGCGAAGGACACGACCTAACAAGCAATTAGTGGTGTGTCGATATGGACATGAAGGATGAAACCAGGGGGCTCACCATCCATTCAAAGTCGCCTTTTAAACAGTGAAACTTGTCTGAATGTGTCCAGAAAAGCACTGTCAATGACACCATCTCGAAGCTAACGTCAACGAGATCGTTTGTAGGACCCTCAGTCCCTTCTGATATGAGTCTTTCGAGAAAGAACAGGTTCTGGAGATGCTCCAATCTGACAAGCAAGGTGGCATAGACCTTCCCGACATCAAACTCCGGATGGCAAAGGTCATCGGAAGAGTAATGTAGCTTCGGTGGAAAATTTGCAAAGAGTGACAATTGCTCTTGTCGCAGCCGGCTGTAGTTGTCAGAATCAAGGGCTATAGAAATAATTAAAAGGTTGGAGGCTTACTGGAGCTGTTCGGCGTCCCGAATGCCATTACCGAGAACCATTTCCAAAATACTGTCTTTGACCAGAGCCATCTTGGCTCTAGCTCGTAGAATTGTAGAGGATCCAAGCGTGTGGTTATGCCGATTCCATCCGTCCGAATCCAGTTCCTTGATTCTCGCCTGGAGGACACTTGGTGGAGAAAGCAGGTCCTCGTCTGAAAGGTCGAGGGGCAGTGGAGTGGAGAAATAGCGTCTGCTGAGCAGCGGTGGCCTGCCTGTAAACACACTCACAACTTTGTCGATGTTGTACACAACGGCTTGATGGCCCATAGGATCAGAAAATGCATATCCCGGAGTGAAAGGAAGAGCCATGCTCACCTGCTAGCCGTCTCCATACATGGGCAGCCACTGAGTCGTCAGGTTTGGGACAACTTGTGGCTACGTGTAAGCCGAGATATGTCGTGGCAGCAATCATATCACCATGTTCTCTCCACGTGGTAAAGCCTAGTGTTTCGATAAGTGCCTAGTCGGATGGGAGCGCGATGTATGCTTACTAGCATCGCCGGAGACGTTTGATTCGATGATGGTTGACTTGAACATAGTATATATGATCAAGGAGTTGCATTGGCCGGCTCGACTTCCTAGTGATACGCAGTCCATTGCACACTTTTTGTAAAGCGCCATGAGCTTTCTGGAGTGTCCTACAAAGAGAGTACGACCGCGGTCTGTGACTACGAAGGTGCCATACGACCAGTACGTAAAAAGAATGCCAAGTGATTCCCATCGTAGATTTGGCCCGGAAAAGGAGGCTATCCACTCATCAGGGTCAACTTGACTCTCTTGGAACTCCCGGGAGGAGTTCTCGGCTAGGACTTCTGCCATCCTCTGCAACTGGGACGGGGTTTTAGCTTTAAGGGTGTCCCTGAACGTGTCAAACAGTGATAGTAGAACCCGCTCTCCTGCGAGACGGGACCATCCATCATTCGGGTTGATATGACCTGATTGGGATGTAACGTCAGCCACGAAACCATTTACATGGATTGTTTAGAAACAATTGCTAGTTTAGGTACCGTAGAAGTATTCGAGAGCCACTGGCTCATCTGGTATTAGAGTCAAGAGATTGATTGCCATGTCCAGTGATTTCTTGTCCAGGTTCGTAGCTGTCGGGATAGTATCAGTCGCTCCCGGGGTATTTTGAACAGTTGTAGGTTCTGTGGAAGGGACACTGTTAGGACCCAGCAGATGATCCTGAGTCTCTTGAAAGACAGCTGAGAAGCTTGTGGCTCCGAGATAGCCGGGCAAAGCACTCGTTCGAGCATTGGGCCGATCCGGCGTCTCAACGACTGATATCGTTTCGGATGAGTCGACCTGTGGACTCATCAAGACTGGCCCGGGCTGATGGGCCGGGCCGGCAGCGCCGCTGAGCGAGGCTATTGAGCCTCGGGTATTCGACGGCGTGGCGTCATTCTGTATAGAATACACACAGCTGTTGGGTGTGTTGCGTTTCCTGCACCGCGTACAGACGGGCAGGGTGTGGTCACAGGCGACTTTCCTCCGCCGGCACGGATTGCAGGCTTGCAGGCGTCCATTCCTTCGCCTCGGAGCCACGCCCAGCGCATGGGAGGGCATGACACGGAACAAGAGGTTTGTAATATGGGATCACAGTAGGTATATGTTCCTGGTTCGTAATGATATTGTATGACTGTAGAGAATGAATCGAGTACCGGTCGTGCACACGAGAGACAACCTTCGGCTTGAAATCGGCTTCGCCCCGCTTTTTGCTACGTTTTGCTAGCGGCTCTCGGCTTCGGCTTCGGCTTCACCACGCTCCTCGAATTGTAGATGTTAGGGACAACAAAAACAATCGCCTGTTCTAAGTGCGCCAGAGGCAACAAGATAGACCCAACTCTTGGGAGATGGTATTGTGGGTGTTCCGTCTAGTCTTGCCATACCCACCTCTTGTGTTCTTCTTCCCAGAGAGCCCACTCAGAGAGGGATTAGAACACTGCCGGGCGCAGTCCTCTGAAAAGGAACTATGGCATGGAGAATTCTGCGATGAACAGAACAGCGTCCTGCGTCAAAGGCCACCGTGGCTGTGACTGGGATAAATGGAAGCAGACGTACGGCGGCCTATATGGGACTGTCACCGCGCGCGAATTGGGAAAAAGAGCGGGATGAAGAAGGTCTGCCGCAAGATCCCCCAACCTACAAAGGAGAACGGTACGGCCGAAAGAACATGAAGGTCCTCGTGTTTGAAGGTCTGGTACTGGCTGATCAGACGGACTAAATCAGGCTCTCTGAAGCAACCGTTGTTCAGTCTTTCTCGGGCGCTCTTATTTGTATGTTCATCCTTGCTTCCTGGTTCCCATCTCTGTAAAGCTAGATTACTGTAGGTGGAGCGTTGAATGTTCACGCTCGACACAGACACGTTCACGGCGCAAGCATTCACGGCGCAAGTCTATGGATACTCTGCCAGTGTCGGTACCGGCGTTGGCATGGGTAGTCAGAGTGGTAAGAACAACTCAGTGATATCCTAGGAATGGATAAGAGACTGATGGGTACACTTCCGCAGGCTTCTCTACCGTGCAGGCCAGCATCAGTCATGAGCAAGCCCACGTCGCAGCACCCTTCATCGCCCTTGCACAAACTACAGGGATCACCATATGACTGGCCATGAGCAACGCCGTGTTCGTCAATCGAGCGGAGGACGGCCTGCGAGATGCTCTCCCCGGCGTGCCTAAGAGCTAGATCTAGGCGGTCATTACAGGTGTTTCCAGGGATCTCGTGACCAAACTGAGCCCGGAGGTCCAGAAGCAGGTCCTTGACGTGATCGTTAACGCCATCAGCCGCGCCTGTATGCTCTTGATCACCGCTGGTGCTCTCGTCGCGGTACTGGGCCTCATCATGAAGCGCGACAGGCTTTTCATTGCGCCGACAGCGATTAGAGCCCAATAATTTCATGGCATTCCTTACTCTGCCCATGACTTTGCTTCCTTTCGTTGTTCCCAGGGGTCCAGCTACTTGTAATCAACATTGATATAGTTGCAGCTTGGCCCCTTCCAGGCAAAGCTGCGGCCGGCGGATAAATAGGTCTGGGGTTGCGGGGACAGAGATGGCCATTTGCCGCGTGCATTGTCCGATCCGATTGCGCCGGTGATCGTTGGCGTTTAGCTCCGAACGGGGGAATGCCACCAAATTCAGCGCCTTTGATTCGTTTCCTATCCACGATGGGACCGTGCTGGACTCGGAGCTCGGCGCCTGCACCTCGGGCGTGTGTGTGGGTAATAGCTCGAGGGTATTCAGACGGGGACGCTCTCCGCGCCTCCACTCTGGATGCAAGCAATGACACACAGATTTCTCTGTTTTAGTCCTAGTAACCGACACCGGAGACATGTCTCCATGGGTCAGACTTTTTTTTCTGCGGCAGTCCTTCCGAAACAAAAGTCCTATTCTTCGGACAGAGTCATTCTTAAAAGCCCCCGGAAGGACGGAAGACATTTTGCAATCCGGGATGGCTCCCCACACTTTCCATTGTTACGAAGAAGTCGATTGTTGTTGAACTTCAATTCGGGCACACGCTTCCATGTCTACCACCATCATCTAACCTGACCGGTCATCGAATCCGGCAACCCCCTCGTTCAAAAGTGCACATCAGCAGACACCGGCAGTCCCCGCCTCCTCTCGAGGTGGCCGCCACTGTCGCCCCGGATGGCCATTCGGGATTACACCTCCAAGTCCTCCTCACCTTCCGAAATCAACTCAGTCTCAACTTCGACGACCACCATCATCATGGAGACCACGGCGGTCGCGGAGCAGATCGCGGAGCAGGTCCGCGAAAAGACCCCAGAACCCAATGAGGAGGAGTCCGCGGGCGTCGTCCTGTTGGCAGAGGAGACGATCCCCGACGGCGGGACCAGGGCATGGCTACAGGTTGCCGGGGCGTTCTTCCTGCTCTTCAACTCATGGTATGCGACCCCCCTTTACCTAAAGTAAAGAAAAAAAAAAGTCAAGATGAGTTCACCCCGTGCTGACGAGGTGGTCCCTCCAGGGGTGTCGTAAACAGCTTCGGCGCGTTCCAGACCTACTACGAGACAAACTTCCTCAGCTCCATCTCGCCCTCGACGATATCCTGGATCGGCTCCGTCCAGCCCTTCCTGCTGCTCGGCGGCGGCGCCATCGCGGGCCCGCTCCTCGACGCCGGGTGGTGCACGTCGCTCCTGGCCGTGGGCACCTTCTGCATCGCCTTCGGCACCATGATGACGAGCATCGGCACGCAGTACTGGCACATCCTGCTGTCGCAGGGGTTCTGCGTCGGCCTCGGCGCCGGCTGCATCGTCGTGCCCGGGCTCGCCGTCCTGCCGCAGTGGTTCCTGCGCCGGCGCGCCCTCGTCACGGGCATCGCCGTCTGCGGCGGCAGCCTGGGCGGGGTCGTCTACCCGCTCATCTTCCAGAACCTGCTGGGGCGCGTCGGCTTCGGCTGGACGCTGCGCGTGCTGGGCCTCCTGTCGCTGGCGACCTGCGGCTTCAGCGTGCTCGTCATGCGCACGCGCTTCTCCCCGCGGCGCGTGCGCTCCCTCGTCGACCCCTCGGCCTTCCGCGAGTGGCCCTACATCTTCTACTGCCTCGCCATGTTCTGCTCCAACTTCGGCTTCTTCATCCCGCTCTTCTACCTGCAGACCTACGCGCTGGGCCACGGCCTCACGGACCGCAACGTGGCGCTCAACCTCGTCGCCATCCTCAACGCCGCCTCGTCCGTCGGCCGCCTGGCGCCCGCGCACCTGGCCGTGCACATCGGACCCTTGCACACCATCGTGCTCGTCGTCTGCATGTCGGCCGTCACGTGCTTCTGCTGGGTCGCCGTCGACTCGGCGGCCGGCAACGTCGTGTTCGCCGTCGCGTACGGCTTCGCGTCGGGCGGCATCGTCAGCCTGCCGCTCGTCGTGCTGACGTCCATCACGAGCGACCTCAAGTACCTGGGCGCGCGGTTCGGCATCTCGGGCCTCTTCAACGCCTTCGCCGCGCTGTGTGGCGCGCCGCTGGCGGGCGCCATCCTCAAGAACTCGGGCAGCTACCTCGGCCTGCAGCTCTTTGCCGGCTTCATCATCAGCGGGACGGCCATCTCCTTCACGGCGGCGCGCGTCGCCAAGGTTGGTTGGAAACTCCGTGTCAAGTGCTGATCCATCCTACCAGGCAGTGCACAGCAAAGCAGAAACATGAAACATGTGACATGGCTGTTCTGTAATTATCATGACCCCCTGATGACTCCTCCCACACATATCGGGATTATAAAAAGCGATTGCCTTTTCAAGCATAATATTAGACGCATAGTCTGTATATATCATTAATGATCTTGTCGTAAGAATATAAATAAAAGAGTACGACTGTATGACATACCTGGATGGCCTTTGCTTGCTGACAGCAGGGTGTGCCACATCGTAATGAAACATCACACAACACATGCAGTCAGGCTGAGGTGAGAAATAATCCCGGAAACAAGTCACGGCATCGAAAGTCATGCAGATCTCAATTAGTTTCACAGTCCATAAGTCACACACAGTGTACATTTGATGTCAGATAGTTGATCTCATCAGAAAAGAAACCATCATCTCGCAGTTTCATATTACATCTAGATGTACAAGGGGTCTATAGCTAGCAAAGCAATGAAATCTCTCAATGAATTATTGCCCAAGCGCCGCCCATGTGTACGTACATGCGTATTTGCTTCCATCACATCGTCGTCGCAAACAATGGCTTCTTCAAACCGTGTTGGCCTCCTTCTTGGTGATGGCGCACACCTCCTTCATGCAGTCGATGCTGCGCATGTCCTTGGAGATGGGGTGCCTGTTGCCGTCCGTCATGCGGTCGTCAATAAGCTCGTAGATGTACTTGGTCATGGTGTTCTTGGCCGGGTCCTTGCCGCCCTTCTCGTCGCCGCCGTAGCTGCCCATGTACGAGGTCTGCAGGTCCTCGACAAAGTAGAGGGCGCCCGGCTTGACAATGCCCCAGAGCTCCTCGAGTGAGTTGCGCTGCTGGTCCATGCTGTGGCCGCCGTCGTCGATGATGACGTCGAAATCGCCGCCCGACTCCTGGACGAAGCGGCGCAGGAAGGTGCGGTCAGCCTGGTCGCCGGTGAAGATGGTGGCGCCCGAGGTCTTGTCCTTCCACTTCTCGGCGCAGGCGGCGTCGTACTCTATGTAGTACAGGTCGACATTGGGGAAGAACTCCAGCCACGTGTAGTACGACTTGCCGGGACCGTAGCCCTGGGTAGGAGGATACCGTATTAGCATGGAAAGGATTCCGAAGCCGGCGGAGCCGCGGAGTGGTGAGGGGGAGAGGGAGAGCGCGATAAATACGTATATGGGGATCCATGGATCGCAGGCGGGCGGGTGCAGCGGACAAAGGGACTTACCATGTTGCAGCCCAGGCCGATCTCGAGCATCTTGAGCTTCTTCTCACGCAGCGGCTCGAGGTACTTCTCATACATGAACCAGTACTGGTGCGTGGTCACCTTGTCAGTGCCGTGTTGAAGCGCGACCTCCCTGAAGCTTGGTCGCCGGCCACCGCTGCTGCTGCTGCTGCTGCTGTCACATCATGCTGTTAGCCGAGTTTTTCTGGGTGGCGTGAATGCGTGCATGCCAAGGGTGGGCATGATGGAAAGGAGTAAACAACGGGTGGTGTCGACTTGCCTTGTCGTCGTTCCAGCCGACCCTGCTGCGTCTTTGCCGCCCTCCCAAGGCTTCTTGATCGTGTCAATGACCTGGTCATGCTGGCGAGCCAGTCCCAGCAGGAGCAGGATAGCCGCCGCAGCGAGCAAGATGTAATGCAACCGAGTTGCTGCCATGTTGAGTGGCGTTGTCTACGGCGCAAAGAACCGTGGGTGGTGAACAGAGAAAGAGTGGATAAGTCCGGACTTTGGAGCAGGACTATGGTCGTTTGCTTGGGTCGGAGAAAGAGGAGGGGAAGGGGAGGACCAAAAGGGTGAGACGAGTGGGTGGGAGAGACATGCTGTGGTCTTTATTCGACTTGGATGTCCGCGGGTTGTGCCTCCTGTGGCATTCACTCTCTATCTTAGGTAGGTACGCGTGTGTGTGTGTGTGTGTGTGTGTGTGCTGACTTGCCTACCTACCTCCTTCCTGCCTGCCTGCCTGCCCCATGGCGAGTGACCTTTGGGTGACTTCCGCTCTGGGGCTGACCGTCTGAAGTCTGGACATCGCACTGGCCTGGGATCAGCCTGCCACACCCCGAAGCCCCCGCCCTCATGTCTCGAGATAGCCCATCTCCCTTGGCACAAGCAGCAGGCGGACGAAACGGGACAAGCATCAAGCAGAAGGCGCGAGACAAACGAGGCGCATCTTTCCTAGGTCCCCTAGCAGAGTTGACTAGTGCTGGCCTGGCGCTCCTGCTAGCCGATCTACAGTAGCTCGAGACCCCACCTCCTGGGGAATTATTGGGGACGCTTTGCTTTTCGATGCAAGCCGGCATTCTCATGCACCACCACGCTCGCTGGTGCATCTCGTAAAGAGCGAGCGGCGCGAGGAGAATAGTGGATTTCCGAACCTTCAAGGTCGAGCGGGACTGGGGGACCTGAGTGGACTTTTCCCCCGCGCGCATCCCATCCTTGGTGGCATCCTTGGAGAGCTCACTAACGACAAATGGACTCTAGTAAGGGGTCAAGTCCAGAAGGGGACTACCTATTCCTGGCCAATAGTTGATGTTTATCGGCGATAAACTTTCTCGTCTTCGGTGCAGGTACCTACTGTATTTCGATGGCGAAGGAGGGCGGCCCAGCTGAACCACCAAATCCGGGATGGGATTCCCCTTGATCTGCGAGGCGATTCACGGCAGCATGCCATGGGTGTCTTACCCTGCCGACGCCGTGGCTTTCTTTTCTCGATCCGCGAAGACACGACTCACACAGGGCGCGTCGAGCAAGACGCGAAACAAAAGCAGGTCCATTACAGAGCACGTCACAGACTGTTCTTGAAACCAGGAAAATACAGCGTCTTGATACCAGGTTTTGTCAGAGTGGATGTACCTACCCAAACTACCCACGTCAGATCATCTTGTCAGCATGGGCAGGCAGTGCTTTTCACAAGTCCGAAGCAGAGAGTGCATACAAGAAAGTCCATATTCGACGTGAACCCTGGCCTCGCCAAGACGTTGCACCCCCCAATGTCTGTTTGGCCCAATACGGCGGCAACGCTTCAGGGCACGGCCATCGGAAAGTGGCGTGGCTTGGCTTTCCAGGCACAGAGCGCTGTAAATAGAACTAGCTATGATGAAAAACGACGACATACCGCTCTAAAGAGTGAGGGATACCCCTACAAAGTCGACAAACATCCACATGCCTGCCTGCAATTGCCCTGGTAAGCCTGGGGGAGCGACGAACTCGGTGTCCGTGACCAGCAAGTAGTAGGGTGATAGGTTGGCGATGAAGGGGGGTGCATGCAGATACGAATTTGGTGGCGCACCCACCGTCCATCCCGGCGTGTGTCGTGGCATGATAGTCGTGTCTGACCAGAGGGAAATGAAATGAGTTGAATGCACGCATGCATGCACGCATATCATTCTCCTGACCATGGGAAAATAGAAACCCCTTCCATCGTCTTCGTCCTGCAACAGCATCAAGCAAAGATCCAGCTGGCGTCTTGGTCAATATTCAGCCGGAGCAGGGCGTGAAATCTGTTTCGTGAAACATGTACGATGACGTCGCTTGCAATATATAACAGATTCGCGACACGGTTTGCGCGAGGGGGGTGGAGGGAGGAATTCCATGGATGATCTTCAGGTCTTGGGCCAGTTTATTACGGAGATGGAGTGCTGGGAGGAGCGCTGAAAGAGGCACCCGGAGAATCACATTGTTAGGTAAGAGGTAGTTACGCCTTTCTATGCCCCGCTGATTGCCGGTTTCAAGTACATTTCGTCCAACACATGCCGCAAGAGAAGTGAGGGGGGAATGGGTCCAAACATTGAAGCCCAGGGCTGGAGGACCCAGGATCATCCAGGATCAGGCCTAGGCCCAGGACCAGGCATGCCAGGTTATCGGGGCGGCGCCGTTAGTAAGGAACCGCAGCTTTAAATTCCCACACCACCTCCCCGTCGACCGCATTCCAGCCCACTGAGAACCCAGGCCTCCAACCCCTGTAATTCTGGGCTTTGTGCAACCCCGGAAGGCGATCGACCAATCCGCGGAGCACCCGTCGTCGAGCAAGGGAGGATCCCGACATGGTGGTGGAGGGTGGTGGCTTGATTGCTGTTCGTATATTCAGGGGGCGGGCTTCTTCGGGGAGGTCAGACTGAGGCACACACGGCGCGCCAGGGGAATTGCTGATGGGCATCGCGCGTGTGATTTGATGCATCAATAGACCGCCTGGACCATTGATCCCATTTCAGCCTTCCTCTTGGGGGGATTTCATTTCCCCGATTGCATTGTCACATACCTACCTTACCATGGCTGATTGTAGCGTTGACTTGACTGGGCCTTGGCTGGGCCTTGGCTGCTCAGGGAGATACCTACCTTAGGTACCTGCCTGGGTGCCGCTCTCAACACGAACGCACGCCCTCGCCCAATAATCGCCGATGCTTGTCAGACATTGTTTGAGAGCGCCCAGCGATAGCTTTCCCACCGCGAAACTATAATTACGACATGCCAGGCCGCGGCCGCAGCGGGCGCGCCCAGGTGGAAATAAAGGTGGGCTCATCAGACACTGTTTGACATCCTTTCCGACTGCGACCAGTCAATGTGCCCGAAAGTACACAGTGCGCGGCAACTTATCTGCCTGCTGCCTCGAATGCATCCAGGATCGGATGGCCGCACCCTTGAGCCCAGGGCAAAGAGATACTGCGCAGTTACCAATACCAATGAATACCAACACAGAGCAGACAGACCAAGCTACCTACCTAGGTACCTAAGCCAGCCAGCTAACGTCCGTACCTGCCGTGGGGTTCTGGTGGTGCATCTCCATCATTCTTGCTCTTCATCGAGAGATCTTGGGCTGCTACTCCCTTCCTTCTCCGCTTACCTACATACATACCTCAAGTACCTTGTTTTCCCACCTACATTAGGCAATCGCTGTAAGTACTTATTTGTACAAAACCAAGCTCCGGTAGCAGCTGCACGAGCTGGCCTCAGCCCGACCAGTGACATATGTAAAGATACCTGGCCTCTCTCATTCATTCTTCCTCCCTCTGCTCCCGCCTCTGAATTACACCCCGATCAAATGCGCGCACATACATAGCACGCCCGCTCGCTCGTACACACCTCGTCCTCAACGACAAGAAGGGTGTGTTTCTCCTGCAAGACAAACAGTCGCCGCGAGACCTGACCGGCTTTCCCTTACACCCGCCTCCCGGTAACTTCACCATGGACTTCTATCAAGTAAACCTGGGCGTGCTCGTCGCCACCAATGCCTACCTCCTCTGGTCCCAGTATCGCACGACAAAGAAGGATGAGGCCCTGACCCTGCTCGACCCGGCACTTGAGGAGCGCGGCGAGAAGATTGAGGGCGGCTCTTCCGGGAGCGCCCGTCGCTTCCAGCTCAACTTCTTCATCCCGTACGCTCTCGCCGTGGCCGCCGACTGGCTCCAGGTAAGCCGGATAATCCCTGTAGTCCCAATGCGTTTTTGCGGCCGTCGAGCTGACCCGTGTTGCGCTTTTCTTCCCGGGACAGGGTCCGCATATCTACGCCATCTACAAGTATGAGAAAGAGATCCCCGAGAAGATGGTCGCCGCCCTCTACGCCGCCGGCTTCGTCTCGGGCGGCATCAGCGCGTCGTTCGCCGGCGGATATGCCGACCGGTTCGGCCGCAAGCGAGCCTGCCTTCTCTACTGCTTCCTCTACATCGTTACCTGCCTCACCATGCTCAGCAACGACATGCGCGTGCTCTTCTTTGGTCGCCTGGCCGGCGGTGTCAGCACCACGCTCCTCTTCAGCGTGTTCGAAGCCTGGATGATCTCCGACTACCACGAGCAGTGCATCCAGACGGCCGATCTGAACCTGAGCTCTGTGTTTAGCACAATGACGACCCTCAGCTGCATTGTTGCTATCGTTTCCGGCATAGTCGGTGACGCGCTTGTCACGGCTTCGGGTACCCGCACCTGGCCTTTCCTTGCCGCCGTCGTGTGCTGCATCGCCTCTGGATTCATCATCTCTACTCGATGGGTAAGTCATGCGCTGGCGCATCCGTTGTCGTCGAGATGCTAACGGTGTCTTTAGAAAGAGAACTACGGCGTGCGATCCTCAGAGTCGACCTCTGCCGAGGACGTCAAGGCTGGCGTCCGAGCCATCTTCCGCGACCGCAAGATTCTGTCTCTTGGTATCACCTCGTGCGTCTTTGAGGGCACCATGTATCTGTTCATCTTCTTCTGGTCCGCTGCGCTGAAGAGCGCCAGGGCCGCGACTGGCTGGACCGACGAGCTCCCCTTCGGACTCATCTTCTCGTGCTACATGTGCACCATGATGGCCGGCTCGGCACTGTTTACCCGCCTCAAGGTGGCTCAGGGTGGCATCTCTGGATCTGCGGATATGTTGATGAAGGTCACCTTGCTCGTCAGCTGCTGCCTCGGCCTCGCCGTCATTCTCAAAGACGAGAGGCTGGTCTTTTGGGTGTTCTGCTTGCTTGAGGGCTGCATCGGAGCCTACTTTCCTGCCATGGCTTGCCTCAAGAGCGAGCTTGTCGACGACGGCATCCGTGGCCGTGTCTACAGCATCCTCAGGTTTCCCCTGAACGTGTTTGTCGTCATTGCGCACAGTCTGGATGAGGAAGGTACGTGATGAGCCATGCTCACTGAATTACACTGGGAAACAAGTACGCTAACAGCTGCGTCACAGGAGATGGCCACCGAAACCATGTGTTTGCGGTATGCGGCGGCCTGCTGCTAGTCGCCTTCCTTTTCACTCGCCGTTATTTTGCATAAGCCCGTGAAGCTAGCCTCAGCAAGGGGCATAATCCCACCATCTTGGACGGTATAAGCCGGCGCTATCTACGGGCCAGATTTTGTAGAACATGTCTAGAACGCCCCAAGGCAAGGAGCTCGAAAAAAGCACAGGTACACCTGGTCACATGTAAACTAGAGAGATTCAACTTGTATGAATAAAAACCGAACTATTTTGATCCCATCTACCGTCCAAGTGGGGACCGTTGCAGCCCGGCTGAATGGGTGCCTCGCTTCCTTGCATATGCAGGGTTGTCCATGGTTGCCACAAACTATGCGAAAGGGTGTGCTTGTTATCACAGGGCTGCTAGGTGGTAGGGCTATTGACTGCCGAGCCGCTCATGCAGGGTCAAGCCCTGGCGTCGACACGAACAGTGCCTGGTTCCGCACAGTCTGCGAGTGTCACGAACGGCCGGACCGATGAACACGGAAAGGGGTGAGGACGAGTGTTGGGATCTAAGCCAAGCCCCAACATAGGTTACAAACCTCAGGCAGTATCTGCCCTTCGAAGCAACAGGTCTTCGCGGAACAAATGGCGTAGATGGTAGGGCAGAAACGAACATTCATGGTTTAAACAGGTTAAAGTCATCTACTAGGCATGCTTTGTTGGCTGAATACTACAGGGACTCGGTGTCCTACAATTCAATATCGAACTTTTTGACATTCTTCCCACTGACCTGGATTGCCCCAGTCAGGTCTTCCGACTTGACCTTGAGCTCCATCTTTTCATGCGGCCACAGCGTGACGTAGTTGTCCGACCAGTACACCGGAGTGACATCCTGTCCACCCTTGGTCACAAGGTTGACTCGGATAAACACGGCCGGAATGTCCGACTGGTTCTCGAGCACGACCGCGCGACCTTTGCCCGTCGAGCCACAGGCCTTCGTGCTGACGGAAACCTCGGCAGTCTTCATCCTGTTGAGCGCCGTGAAGTCGACGTACTGAGTGACCGGAGTGTGGTACCAGCTCGAGTCGTCCCAGTCCAGCTTGTCCATGGTCTTTGACAGCCAGTACACGTTGCGACTGATGGTGATGTTCTTGCTATCGCTGAGGACGAGACGGAGTAGCCCGACATCCTTGATGGACTCGACGCCCTTGACCGCGCCGATATTCTTGCTCGCATTCGGCCCCGTCCTGGCGGATATCGTAGACGTCGAGATGGCCTTGCCGTCCAAGCCCAAGAGCTCGACGCTGACGGTCCTAGCCGTGTCGTCCGGGTTTGATATGTGCCGGTCGATCAGCCAGACCGACTTCCTGACATAGTCGTACGCGACGTGCTCCATCCGGCTCCCGACCTTGCTCCCGTAGAACGACCCGCCAACGTGCAGGTAGTAGTCGTACTGGTTCCAGTGCAGGCTGGGCCACGCGTTGCTCAGCATCCAGTAGATGAGCCCCGTGGCCGGCCGGCCGGCGCTCCACATGCCCGCGTACCCTTCGTACTGCGCGCGCGTGGCCTCGTAGTCGGCCATCTGCGCCTTGAGCAGGTAGTCCTCGAGCGAGGCGGGCGCGCCGTAGCGCCTCCAGAGGCCGCCGTTGTAGATCTTGCGGTCGTAGAAGGACGAGACCTTGGTCGACATGTGGTACAGGCCCTTGTCCGGCCGCCGCCAGAGGTCGTCCATGTCCGCCGCCGACAGGAACCGCTTGAGGCTGTTGAGCTCCGGGGTGCCCACGCCGGCGCCCAGCTCAGAGCCGAAGCCGAAGGAGGAGCCGAGGCGCTCGTCGGCCGGCTCCGTGTCCCACCAGTAGTTCGGGGGCACCCAGTCGTAGGGCCCGTCCATCTTCATCCCCGAGGGGCCCAGGGCCTTGGGGTAGCTGCGCTTCGAGGCCGAGGCGATGATGGGGACGTCGAGGTCCGCGGCCTTGGCGGCGTCGACGTAGATGGCCGTCGCCCTGTCGTCGGGCCAGTAGTCGCTCCCTACGAGGAAGGCCAGCATGCTGGGGTGGTTCTGCATCATGGCCGCCTCGTGGAGCATCTGCGCCTTGGCGATGTCGTAGTCGGCGTCGCTCCAGACGGCCGGAGGGTTCACGGGCAGGTCCTCGTTGTACTTCCAGGCCTCGAACTTGTCGCAGCACTCCCAACCCGCGATAACCATCAGGCCGAGGCTGTCGGCGATCTCGTACAGCTCCGGGTGCTCCATCTTGCCTTCCAGGCGGACGGTGTTCTGCCCCATGTCGAGCATGTACTTGACCTCGGTGGTGAATCGGTCCGGGTCGAACCGCAGGAACATGTCCGAGGAGTACCCGCCGCCCAAGACCTGGAACGGGTGGCCGTTGACGAAGAATTGCGTGTCGTTGTGCTTGTTGAGCACCGAAGAGACGGTCCGGAGACCAAACTTCTTCTCTTCCGACTTGTCCGAGATGGCACCATCGACGGACACAGTGACTTGGGCCTTGTGCAGAGTTGGCTCGCCCCAGGGCTTCGGCCACCACAGCGGCGGGTTCGCATAGTCTGTCGTCAAGTTGATCTCGACGCTCTCCTTGGGTCCGACTGTATATGTATTGCTCAGCGCGCGGGCGGATCCGCCGTCGGCGAGCGACACGTCGCCGTTCGCGACGAACGTGACCTCGTGGTCTTCCAAGTTCCGTGCCGTAGCTTTGAGCGTCACGTAAGCCGAGCTGCCGACGGGCTCCGGGAGCGCCGTCACGATGCGCAGGTCCCCGAGCGACACCGGCCCCGTCTGCCGGAGTACCACCTCGCGCCAGACCCCCGTCCCGTTGTCCGGCGGGCTCGGGTTCCAGTCGACGAACCCCACCCCAAAGTCGTACTGGTAGTCGGTCGGGTAGGCCCTCACCGCCAGCGCGTTGCCGTCCGCGACGACGAGCTCCGAGACGTCGTACACGTGCCCGCCGTACGCGCCGGCCTGGGCGGTCTTGTTGGCGACCTCCTTGCCGTTGAGGAACACGTCCGCGCACGAGGTGATGCCGTGCGTGTGCAAGAAGAAGTGCCGGCCCTGGGCGGGCTCCTTCTGCAGCGCGAACTCGCTCCGGTATATCCAGGGGACGCGGAACGGGCTCGCGTCGAACCGGTCGAGGTTGTCAGAGTAGAAGAGCTCGCTGTCGTTGTAGACGCCGGCCTTGATGAGGCACGCCATCACCGTGCAGCGAGAGACATCGGCGTGGTGCCAGGAGGAGGTGTCTTGGCTCGCCTGTGAGATCTTGGACAGATCGTCGCCGGCTTTGGCCGATGACTGCAGGTCCCAGGAGGGGATTGGCGCACGCTGTCCGGCTTCCGATACCAGAGGAGCGGCAGCGGCCTGGGCTGCGCCTGCGCCTGCGAAAGCTATGGCGCTGATGGAAGCTAGCTGTATCCGCATGTTTGTGGATGGCGCGAGAGCGGGTTGAAGAAAGCATCTTGGGAACAGAGGGGCGATGTTCGTCGTGAAGGCGATTCCCAGATTTCATACCGAATTTGACCCAAGGTGATATCCCAATATCACCAATATGTAACGTTGGTTTTTGCGGTTCTTTTCTATCGCCAGAGCATCCACGCCAATCGCCCTGGTCGAGAACTGTGCCGTACCAATCATGAGCCCCTGCCCTGCCATGCGGGGAAGGACGTTAATTCATGTGATAACATTGCGGCGGGGTGCTGTCCGTCTTGTACTTCCTTGGCTGCTTGGTAACCATCGTGGCGGCTAAAGAGAGGTCGACCTGCCTGTATGAGGCAAGCCCAGCAGGCGGTTCTTCTGCCGATCGCGTTCATTAACGTGACATCGGCTGATCAAGAGCGGTCCATCCGACCAAGAAGCTCCCCCGCATCGTGTGACTGAGTCTGCGGCCAGGAAGTGATAATGCTGTTATATTCTTGTCCGATGTTGAGTGATGGAAGTTGGATATAGTATGAAACTTGGAGAACAAGGTGTACAATTACCTTGTTACAACCTCGTTGTCTTCTCCGATGAAATCAACGATTAAATACAGCGCATCATGTAGCAATGCATACAGCATTCGAATCAAATAATACCCTACGAGAGATCTTGTCGTAGCTGAAGAATGTGAATTATTATTTGCCTCCGAGGAAAGTAATGGTTTGGTTTGCCTGGTTCCGGGGATAAGGCTCAGCACAGGAATGAGATATTCTCCGGTCGGAGGTGCCGCCCGCAAGGCTGTCCATGAGTTCGCGTACTAGACCCTGGTCAATAAGCATGCGAACGCCCTATTGCCCTATTGAGCATCATTCCTATTCATAGCAGTGGCTCACATAGTAGTGGTTCACAGCGAAGGTGCAATGCTCCGGAGTTTTTCTGACACCAGAAACGCCGGTTGTAGTCTGGTTTTAGCACAAGTCCGTTAAATCCGCTTGATGATACGGGATCAACGCGACACACTGAGAACCAGAAACAAAATAAAACTGTTCATTGAAAAGATTCCGAATCATGAAATGTCTTTTATGGTCATGAAAAAGCTACTACACCTTCGAAATATCTCTCAATCGCGATGAGCGTGCATGTCCGAGACACCGTTCTTGGCCAACTAGTCCGACTATGCTCTGGGAAACAGCTGCTACAATTCCCAGACGAGAAAGATCCCGGTTTATGGAAGCAGTCTATTACTCATCCGACGCCAACTATACCGGTTTCCGACCATTCTGATTCAGCCCAAGAGCCCAACGATGAGACACAGACCAACCAGAACAACCAAGAACAAGCCCGTGGCGAGAAAGAAAACGATTTAGATTCCTTTCCACCGAGGCCAACCCAACGACGCTCCCCCGTGAAAGCAGAAATAGGCCCAGACAATAGTATAATCTTGGTGGACTGGTATGGAAATACGGACCCGGAGGTACAGCTACACAAAGACCGACAAGACTAAGTTCTCAACATAGCTAATTAATTATGCCAGGACCCCCAGAACTGGTCCAGAGGCCGCAAATTTGGAGTCTTTTTCCAAATATGCATTCTCAACTTCGGTATCTACATTGGGAGCTCTATATACGCTCCTGGAGAACTGAGTGTTATGGAAGAATTCCATACGACCGAGGTTGTGGCCACCCTAGGGCTGTCGCTCTTCGTGCTGTATGTCACTTAGTCTCACCCCATCGTCGCCGTTGATCGCAGAAAAGACTGAACGATAGACTAATATGTATCAACCTCTGATCTAGTGGATATGGCCTTGGCCCAATGCTCTTCTCGCCGATGTCTGAAGTTCCAAGAATCGGACGTAGCAGGATCTACTTCTGGACACTCTTCGCTTTCGTCTTACTTCAGCTTCCTACCGGGTACGCCGTCAACATGCCAATGCTAGCAATTTTCCGATTTCTGACGGGATTCTTTGGCGGTCCAGTCCTTGCTACCGGCGGTGCGACAATCATCGACATGTACCCACCCCAAGAGGTGGCCTTTTGGATGGGCATATACGGTTCGGTGGGCATCTTGGGGCCGGTCATGGGACCCCTGGTCGGCGGCTTCGCAGCCCAGGCCAAAGGATGGCGTTGGACCATATGGATACTCACATGGCTTTGCACCGTTGTGCTGACCGTGTTATTTGTTGCCATGCCCGAGACCAACTCCGCCAACATTCTGTACAGGAGAGCGAAAAGATTGCGAAAGGCAACAGGAAAAGCCAACCTCAGAAGCCAGTCCGAGATGAACGCTGCGGAAGTGACATTCAGAGACCACCTGACGATGCTGGGTAGAGCCTTCACTCTCACTTTCTCTGAGCCTGTGGTCTTCTTCGTGGATCTTTACAGTGCGCTGTTATATGGTATTCTGTACATCTGGTTCGAATCCTTTCCGATTGTATTTGGAGATATCTATGGTTTCGACATCGGCCGGCAAGGTTTGGTGTTTCTCGGCATATGCGTCGGGGGCTTCGTCACCGTCCCTTGCTACCTCTGTTGGATCAAGAAACGTCTCATTCCTAGTTTCCAACAGCCGCCGATCTATCCCGAGGTCATATTACCTCCGACATTCTTCGGCGCATTTGCTCTCCCGATATGCTTGTTCTGGTACGGTTGGACCTCAAGAAGTTCCATCCACTGGATTGTGCCGATTGTTGGCTCAGGATCGTTCACTGTCAGCATTGTCACGCTGTTTATGCCTATCCTCACTTATCTGGGGATGGCATACCCTCAATATGCCGCTTCCGTGCTTGCAGGCAACACTCTTTTCAGAGCAGCCAGTGGAACTGTATTCCCGCTCTTTGTAAGTGGCTGACCATGCTGGTGGCTTCGGTGGAAGTTGTTATTGTCTGACCCCTGAACTGTAGGCTCGAGCATTGTTCCGCAATCTCGGTATCGGCCCTGGAAACTCTTTGCTGGGCGGCCTGGCAATTCTCTTCATTCCCATACCATTTATTCTATATTATGTGAGTTCTTCGGATGCCCTCTTTTGCACAAGATTAACTGTTACCAGTATGGGGGCCGCATCCGACACCAAAGCAAGAACGCAACCCATGACGTCTAATCATTTGATTCAAGGAATCACAACAACAAATTGCGGGTAATTCATTTGTTTACTTTCTTCCCCGAAAGCCTAACGTGTAACAGGAGCTTACTTTGTAAAAGCCATGTTCCTGCGCTCAGTTATGCCAGAAACCTCTACCCAGCTATCCTTTCCCTTCCTCCTTTCTCTTTTCACTAGCTCATACATGTCAATACCATTGTAGTGAATTCACTTGTTTAATTCTTGGCCATCAGCTGCCTAGCTCGCAGGTTCATCGTAACAGCCAGACCATCCATGGCATCCTGAACTTCAGGAGCTTTGTCAGGTGCCCATCCTTGGAGCTCTTCGAAAAGACCAGCCGCCGATTCGTATGTTGCGTCAGTGCTGGCACTGTGATTATATATGGCGGTATGCAGGTCTTTCAAGACGGTCACGAGGTCATCCCTCGTTTCTTTCGCTGCGTCTTCGAGCCTTCCGTTCTTGTCAAGGCTTTTGAGCTGTTTGATAGCTTTCTGAATGAGCTGCTTAGCAGTCTCGTCTATGAGAATGCTGTATCGTGAACCTCGCTGATTTGCGGTCTTTGCCATAGTCGTAGCTGACAGAGGTGGGCATATGGGTAAAAGCTATTGTCAAGGCATTTTGGATGGGGCTATCCCACCTGCTAAAGGGACAAAAGATGTGAAGAAGGGGGCAATTCATTGATATATGCGGAAGTCATATTTACAAGGATGGCTGCCCACTTAAAGGTTCTGATGAGCTAGACTCTCCTTGGAATCTCATGCTTTAACGCTGCATCATTCGCCTCTTAGTACCCCCTTTCTGCATTGGCGTGGGGGTCGTCGAGTAATGTGGTGCCTACCAACTTCGTTTTTCCCGGGAAACCCTCTCCGATGTTTCATCCGGGGTAATTTCCGGTGCACTTTATGAAGACTTGGGGAACTCTTTACAGCCAGTTGGTGTTGTGAAGTCCTCACAGAAAAGACAAAGGAAGAATAAACACGGTAATTGGTTAGGAAAGCTTCACCCAGGCTGACGGTCGAAGACCAAGGACTGAAATTTCTGATACTAAGCTCGTAACTATGTACCAATGCCAAACCAAAAAAAGCCCCTCACGAATCATAGTACAGCACCACTACTCTACTGTGCTGAAAGCTTCTTCTCGTATGCCATCAACTCAGCAAAGCCATTCAACTGGGCCTCCAGAGCCTTGCCCTCCAGTGGCGCACAGGGTCTCCGGGGTAGTCCTCCGTAGCCTCGGTATCTCTGTAACGCAGACTTGACCGCCACGAAACCACCTTGAATAGCCGCCCAATCTCCTTCAGCGACGACACCCTGTAGGCGAGCTGCCTCCGCCAGCTTGCCCTGCTCCCAAGTCTGGAACAGCTGGATGCAAGCTCTCGGGGCAAGATTACCCGTGCCCGCGATCACACCATGTCCGCCAGCGGCCAGTGTCTGAATGGTGAAGTCACAGCTTCCGCCAAACGTCCGGAACGAGGTGCCAGCTGTACCAGCGATGACCCTTGCCAACTTGCCCGTGTTGCCGCAGGTCAGCTTGACGCCAACAATATTGGGGTGTTGTGAGAGCTCGATAATGGTGTCGGAGCTCAGGTCGAGGCCAGAAGTGGCACCAGGGAAGTTGTAGATGAGGATTGGTATGGGGCTGGCGTCGGCAACCGTGATGAAATGCTGCTTGATCAACTCCGTCGTCACGAGACCGCCATAGTACGCCGGGGGGAGAATCAGGGTGTGGGTGCCTCCTGACTCGGCGGCCTCCTTGCACAGCTGGATCGTCTCTCGCGTAGACTGAGCGCCGCATCCGACAATCAGCGGCAGGTGCGACTTGCCAGCGTCATCCAAGGCTTTGCGAGTGGCCTTGTTGACAACTTGACGCTCAGCGTGGTCGAGGTGAACGGCCTCGCCGTTGGAGCCGTGCGTGACAATGCCAGCAACTCCGGCTTGGAGGAGGGAGGCTGCATGGGAGATGGTCGTTTCGACGTCGATCTCGTCAGCAGAGTTGAAGAAGGCAACCGTCGGTACGTAGAGGCCTACGCCCAGCGCTTCAGGCTGACCATTAGTCGTCTTGGAGATCATTATGACGAGAGAGTGGTGTGAGAACTTTGACTAGACTCAAGGGAAGAGAGGAGAGGATGTCGGAAGTGGAAGAGAAATGGAGGAGGTAGGTGGCTGCGTGGAGATGGCTACACTCGAGCCAAACACGTTCTACAAAGTTTGCTCCGCAAACACCTTCCCTCGGGCTGTGTCGCATCTTGTCTGTTTTCTCAGGGAGGTGCAAGCCAGTCACCAAGTGGATTGGCTCCAGGTTGTTGTCCTATGACGACCCCCACGCTTGGTGACCCCAGGTACAAGCAGAGCGAGTACATGGAGAGATGGCCTAATTTCTTACTTGCTCGGTCATAACATGCTCTTTCTCCACTTGAAGCGTGTTTGTGTGTCAAGAAACCCCAGAATGCCCGAATTTCCCCGTAGGGACTTAAAGGAGGGGGCATAGGGAAAAGATTCATCCACGACTCTATGACCCCCACGCTAGTCATGGAGAGCCTGGAGCTCCGCATCGTGTTTGCTCCCGACTACACTAAGTGGACTGCTTTACTCCTTCGAGGAATTATTGAAAATGTGGAGAAGCAAGTCGGAGGTGCCCCGGCTGGTCCCTGCTGGAGTTATGCCACAAACGAACTCCGTCGGGGAAGCTGTAGGTACCTCTGTTGTCACTCTTCGGTATCTCTCCGCTCCTCTCTCCATGTCCTGATCGAATACTCTGTTGGGAAGGGAGCATCAGAATTGGCATTGCGCCATGTCAAAACTAACTTTGGTTGGGTTGTACTGGTGAACTGAGTTAACGTAAAAGTGTGTCATTTGGCTCTAAACCCTGTCTACTCGCGATACATACTCATTCCAATTGGCCTCCATCACTCGGCCGTCGGCTCCAGGCCTGCAAGCCCCAGGAAGAAACAGGAAAGACCCCAGGCACCTGGATCGGGGACCTTTGTGAACCCTGTTCCTCCAACATACACAGACCGACCAAGACTCGCGTGCATGCCTTGAGTCTCTATTGCCGCTTTCCTAGCTGCCAGGGCAGCCTCCTTCAAACTGCCAGTCTTTTCCAGTATCTCAACAAAAGGGTACAAGGCGTCTATCAAGGTTCGATCTCCAGGGCGTGCAGGAGTGTACTTTGACAGAGCATCACAACTCTTCTTCAAAGCGGCAGCCCACTTTCGGCGCGTAAGAGCACCCGACTCCAGGGATTGCAAGGCGTGGACGAGAGCATTCAAAAAGATGGCATATAGAGCCCCCGAGGTACCGTCCATGTTGTTTTCCACAACGGACACGATGTCTGCTAGATCGCTGAGGATGTCACCTGTAACTCCGGCTTGCTGGACATGTTTGAGGACGGCTAGTCAACTGAGGTCAGCAATCATAGCACAATAGGCAAGGGATTGTATGCGTTACCTTCAGCTCCCCTCTTCAACCCAATACCACAATCACCATCGCCCACAACAGTGTCGTATTTCGTGACCTCGGCTTCAGCAGCTATTACACGCTGCAATGCGGTTGTCAAAGCAGACTTTTCTGTAGAAGCATCCATGGTCTGGCCAGATGGCTTTTTCCTTTGATCAAACTGCGAGGAGCCAGCCCGGACTTGTGTGTTCCTGGCCTCCCACGTTACGCTTTGTATCGGAGCAGCCCACCCAGGGACCTCGCTCGGGGCGTCGAGAAGGCTGATCATGCTGATGCCATCGGTGTCCACCGCATTTAACAGACTGATACTGAAGCCAAGGCCATTGAGGCTTGTCATGAACATGCCACTCAAGACTCTGGCTGGCTTGATATTGTAGCCAGATCCTAGCTGCGTTACAACCTCTGTGGTGATCGCTCCCATCTCCAAAATGCTGACGCCACCAAGGTTGTTGATCAAAAGCACAACTTGCTTGGAGTCAAAACGAACAAAGGCACGGTCTTTGTCGGACTGATCGAGCAGCTGGGCGAGCATTCGGCTGACGAGTTCAGAGAGAGCGATCTTGTCTCGTCCGGAACCGATCTCATTGTGGATTCCCATGCCGATCTCTACCTCGCCGTCTTGCAAGGCGTCCTCGGTGCTGATGGCCCGCCCAGGAACATGTACGTGGTCGAGGCTCGCGCCCACACTGACCAGGTTCTCGGCCGCCAGGCGGGCGGCAGAAGCAACGGCGTCAAGTGACCGGCCCAGCGCCGCCAGCGCGCCGGCAATCTTGAGCACGAGGACGGTGCCGGCGATGCCGCGCCGTCCGACCTTGCCGCCCTTGGCTCGGCCGACGCCGACGTCGTCGCCGACAACGACCATCTGCGCGTCGATGCCAGCTGCCCTGGCCTTCTCGACGGCCATGCCGAAGCTCAGGACGTCGCCGGTGTAGTTCATCACCACGACCAGTACTCCCTTGTCGACGTCAACGCGGGAGGTGATGCCGGCTCGGACCTGAGTTGCCGACGGGCTGGCAAAGATGGTACCAGCAACGGCCGCCGAGAGCATGCCGGGCCCGACCATGCCAGCGAAGGAGGGCTCGTGACCCGAGCCTCCTCCAGACAAGATGGAAACTTGAGTGGGAGCATCGTTGGGCCGGCGGTAGATGATCTTGTGTTCCTCGTCAAGGGCAACATGCGGGTTGACGAGGGTCAAGCTGTGCAGGGCGTCGCCAACCAGCTTGGTCGGGTCATTGACAAAGTGTCTCGTGGACATCTTGAGGATCGATTGTGAAGTAAGGACTGCTCATCAAATCTCAACTTGAAGCTGCTTGGAGGTTTAAACTTGCAAAGGCGAACGGCGGCGGGGATAGGGATGCACAACTGAAGGAAACCGGTCACGGCGTTCCACGATGCTCTCATCAGTCTCCAACTAGGCTTCATGTGCGACAGCCTGAGCGACTGAGCGTGGGGGTCACATCTTTGTTCAGGTCGGTCGCACATGGTGCTAGCCTTTCTGGGGAGATCGAACCTGTGGGTTCACGAGTTAATGCTGACTCAATGAGGTCTCGAAAGGATGTAGCTACCCGGGGGGTCTCAATGTGAGATCGGAGGCAGCTGATTGCCAAGAGGTCTATCTAGAAAAGGCTCGATTTGGACACTAGCTTTCAGATGAAGATACATCACGGTGTCTAGCCCGTCTTCAACATATCGCATCGAGCATGATGAGGCTCATCCCAGCGTGGGGGTCACTCTCTTCTCGCAAGAGATGAGGGAAGTCTCCGCGTGAGGAATTTCCCGACATGGTCAGCATCCCTGCAGCTCGAACTAGCCGACGGATGGGACATTGTGGGGAAGTAAGACCTAAACAGGGCCGGCGTCTCGAACAACTCTGGGCGATGTTGCCCTGGGTTGCTAGCGTGGGGGTCATAATGCGAAGCATCTGACGACCCCAAGTCCGGGTTTGGTCATTAGCGTAGGGTCCGTTTGTGGAGTACGGGGATCCGAATACGGACGCAATTGCAGAGCGAGTCATTGATGCCGACCCAGAAAGGATGGCCATGATCATCTTACATTGTTTCCATCAAGATCTTGAAGATCCCTAGAACCCGACTTGCATTGGCGTTTTGGCCTAACAGTTTGAACCAACAAGACGCATTAACAACACACCTCCTACAATTAACATCATGGGGAAAATCAAGACCGTCGAGTATTTTCGTGTGAAGCCAAGATGGCTGATGGTCAAGATCACCGACGAGAACGGCGAGTACGGCTGGGGAGAAGCAACGCTCGAGGGCCATGATCTTGCTGTGGAAGGATGTTTAGAGGAGATGATTGTTCGTATCGTGGGCATGGAGGCAAAGTCAGTGTCTTTTTTTTTTCAATGTTTGGTGAAAGTCTTGACCAAGCTAACCATGGCCGCAGTGAGATCGAGAACATCTGGCAGACATTTTGGAGGCATGGCTTCTATCGCGGAGGCCCTGTCTTTATGTCCGCGTTATCCGGCATTGACATTGCCTTGTGGGACTTGAAAGGTACGCCAAACGCATTCCCAATATTGCGCAGACAAATACTCATCAAGATGTTTCGTGTAGGAAAGGTGTTCAAGATGCCTGTCTATGAGCTGCTCGGAGGAAAAGTTCGTAGTAAAGTCCAGGTCTACTGCTGGATTGGTGGCGACCGGCCGGCAGATGTTGAGCGAGCGGCGTAAGTATCTTTCCAGTATCAGTTCTCTCCATTTCGGAACAGATGATGCTAACGCTTAAGATTCAGCAAAGCCCGTGTTGCTCAGGGTCTGAAACATGTCAAGATGAACGCCACCGAAGACCTCAACTGGATCGATTCACCTTCCAAGCTTGACGCGACAGTTGAGCGCATCAAGGAGGTCAAAGCATTGGGCCTGGATGTCGGTCTAGACTTCCACGGCCGTCTTCACAAGGGCATGGCCAAGCAATTAGCTGCGGCGCTGGAGCCGCACCGCCCTCTCTTCATCGAAGAGCCGCTGCTATGCGAGCATCCAGAGGCTATCAAGCAGCTTGCAGACCGCACCACCATCCCCATCGCATTTGGAGAGCGTCTCTACACTCGCTGGGACATCAAGAGATTCCTCGAAGATGCTAGTGTTGATATCCTTCAGCCGGATATCGCTCACGCTGGTGGCATTAGCGAGACGAAGCGGATCGCCCAGATGGCCGAGGCTTACGATGTTGCCATTGCGCCACACTGCCCGCTGGGCCCCGTCGCCTTTGCGGCCTCCCTGCATATTGGACTGACCTCTCCCAACTTCACCATCCTGGAGATGAGCTTGGGAATGCACTACAACACGGAGGCTGGTGACGACATCGACCTCCTGACGTACCTAAAAGATCCGGAGGTCTTCGCTATCGGTGAGGGCGGGTTCATCAAGGCGCCGACGAAGTACGGACTTGGCATAGACATTGATGAGGAGAAGGTCAGAGCCATCGCCAAAGACACCAAGCCGTGGCAGTGCAAGGTGTTCCATGGCCCTGACGGTAGCATTCGGGAATGGTAATCAGTGGACAAGATGATAATAGATGGGATAAAAGTAATCAAGTCGACTTTCTAAAGTTGGCGTGTCTGCACGAGCATTGGATCACGATTGTTAAGTAGATCACGATGTTTCGAAATGATGAAGAAATTTTTAGAAATGATACATTGAATTCATTGACTACTTTATGTTTCTATCAGTACCTTGATCACCAGGTTCCCTTCATCGTCTGCCGGCTTGCCAGCCAATGTGAAGGCATCTGTAACCCGATCTAACCCCGCGACCCGATGTGTCGCCAGCTTCGCAACGTCCGGAAGTTTGTACTTGGCCTTGTCTGCCAGGACCTCAATACCGTATGCATACGTATTGGAGTACCTGAACACGCCAATCAAGTCGACTTCGCGTAGCGCAGCAGCTGACACGGGTAGAGTCTGGATGGGAGTGCCCATCCCAATGAGCAGCACCTTCCCGCCAGCCGCTGTTGCGTAAATACCGGCCTGCACGCACGCCTCGACGCCCGTGCACTCAAACACGGCATCGAACTGCTTTCCCTCACCCCCACTGGCAGCTTTCATCAGGAAAGCCGCAGTCTCCTTCGCACTGGCGAGCTTGTCCTCGATTGTCGGTGCAGTCTCTCGCGGCGCGGTCCGGGGCACTTCCACGCCCACGTCCGCAAAGCCATGTGCCTTTGCGAACTCGACGCGACTGCCGGCCACGTCGGCGACTGTGATGCTCGCGACTTCTGCAGTGCGCAGCATCGCGGCCGTCAGGAGGCCGACCGCGCCGGCACCGAGGACAAGCACATTGGCTCCCTTCTCTAGCTTGGCGCGGCGCACTGCGTGGATGGCCACGCTGAGGGGCTCAAGCAGGGCACCCTCGTCTAGGGAGACGGACTCGGGGAGCTTGTGGCACCATTTCGCAGGGTGATTGATGCGCTCCTGCAGAGTGCCCTGGAAATGAGGGAAAGACTTGGCTGAACTCCGGAAGCGCATGTCCGCGCAGATGTTGTACCGTCCAGCCTCGCAGAGGCGGCAAGAATCGCACGGGATGCCCACCTCCAAGGCGACTCGGTCGCCGGGACTGAAGCCAGCCACACCGGCGCCGACAGCTTCCACGACACCTGATGACTCGTGGCCAAGGGTCATGGGCTCTCGGATCAGGATATCGCCATTGCGATAATGATTGTAGTAGTGCTGATCTGAACCACAGATACCTGTGCGGCGGACTGAGACCTGTAGCTCGCCCTCCGCTGGGTCAGCGAGCGACCGTCTCTCCTGTATTGCTTTCTCATTAGCTTGTGGTCCTCAGAGCGGCGCGGTGGTTTTTCACATACAGTTCTCAGGTCTCTGACGCCATGGAGAACAGAGGCAGAGATGCTAGTTGATGATGCCATCTTGAGTGATTTGACTCGACAGGGATAGGTATGTGTGTGTACAAGCATCAAATCCTCCCAGGGAAGCGGGAATGTCAAGCATACACTGACTGATCCAGCACTAGTTCGTGATGAGAGTCCGGATTCGAGGGAACTGACAGAAGTCCCCGGTGAAGTTCGATCTGACTCCGATTGCGGTGGCATTCTACCGCTTGTTGACTTCCGTAGGAGAAGGTACTGGATCGTGATCCTGGATTCAAGTGACCCCCACGCTGACACCAGTCCTTCTTCTGGAGAGGTCTGTCCCTCGCCGGCCTCGAAGCTAGAGGCCACAATCGTGGAGCCGATGGAGGAGCGGATGAAGGAGGATCCCCGGCCCCTCCACAGCAGAAGCGACCCCCACGCTATTGCTTACTCGAAAGAACGTTGATACATTGGAGGGAAGTACCGTTTTTGTGCAAGGAGCTTGGGACAGGCTTTGCAAGCGCGGTAAGGTAGTTTCTTTTGACTAAATTACTGGTTCTACCGGCCCATCCAGCCACCATCAACCGTGACAATCTCTCCACTGACGTAACGGCAGGCTGCCCCAGCCAAGAACACAGTCGCTCCCTCAAAGTCCTCCGAGGCGCCCCATCTGCCCATCGGGATCCGCTCGAGGATGCTAGCAGCCCGCTTCTCGTCCTTGATGAGGGCCTCGTTCATGTCCGTGGCGATGTAGCCCGGCGCAATGGCGTTAACGTTGATTCCGTCGGCCGCCCACTGGTTGCTCAGGGACTTGGTCAGCTGGGCAACGCCGCCCTTGGCCGACGCGTACGCCGGCACGTTGAGGCCGCCCTGGAACGAGACCAGACTGGCCACGTTGATGATGGCTCCCCTGCGGCCAGTGGCGTCGGGCGTCCGCTTGCGCATGTATGCGCCAAAGTCGCGGCACAGAGTCCAGACGGTCCGGAGATTGACCTGCAGGACCTGCATCGTAGCACGGTGAGCAAACAGGAATGTGTAAGAAAAAGGGCACGAAACTTACCTCGTCCCAGTCCTCCATCGGGAATTCGTGAGCGGGGTGCCGCCTCTGGATCCCGGCGCAAGTCACGAGAATGTCCACATCATGGCCGTCCCCGAGCACTTTCGCGGTCAAGGCAGACACGCTGTCTTGGTCGGCGAGATCAGCCGTGTAGACAAACGCCTTTCGGCCGAGCGCCTCGATCTTCTGCTTGGTGTCCAGGTTGCTCTCGTTTCGCTGGACGAGGATTATGTCGGAGCCCGCGCTAGCAAGGGCCAGAGCCATGGACTGGCCAATGCCGCGCGTGCCACCCGTGACAACGGCGAGGTGGCCCTCGAGCGAGAAGAGCTTTTCCAGGTAAGTTGGTGCCATTGGGATCTGTGTTTCCCCTGAGCGTGTGGTGAGTTCAGCGGGAATGAATGGGACACTGGGCCGGGTTGGATGTTTGAGTCTTTTGCGTATTTGATTGACCCAGAAAGGAGATATTGGCTTCGCTTCATAGTCCGAACTCGTCGGCCGGCTGGCCGGCAAACACGAATCATGGCCACGCACGGAACTTGGTGCTGTGGAGTAGAGACTTGGTCGGGGTAAGTTAGGTAACTAGCGTAGGCCAACTTGAGAGGAAGGTTGTATGTCGTTGTGACCCCCACGCCAAGGGAGTCTCCAGCCCTAGAGCCGCCGGCATTCGTCCTGCATAAATGCAAGCCACAGTAGTGTGTCTCCTGCATGAGCCGGAGACTTCCGAGAATCTCCTTTTTCGGGAATATGACCGACGGCATCACGACAATGCAATCTCAGGAGGCATAACAGCGCTTTCCAGAGCAAAGACAGACTTTGAAATCTGGCGGACGGTTGTCCTATCCTAAGAATGTAACCTCCCTGCTGGCCTTCTGCGAAACAGCATAACCTAACGCCTATATGCTTGTGCATGGTTGAATCATCTGATCAGGTCCGAAAGCCAAGTCCAGGTGGACGCCTGGCGCACCCACGTTGCGATTTCGACTAGGCGACGCAAAGAACATTCGACATAATGTTCTTACTTCCAATCTTCGACCCACAAAGCAGGTCTCGTCCAGGTCTTGCATCTCATGCCACTGGTGGGAAAATACGATTCCGTGTCACTTTGGACGATGGAGACCCTACACTAGCTGATGATGCACATCTAGAATATTGGGAAAGATGAACTTACTTTGAAACTTCGATTCCACTGGCCTCGAGCGCCCTACGGGCATCCACAAGCACAGGGATCATAGCGTGCGAAAATCAAGGTGTGTCTCTATAACACGAGATCCCAATTAGATGATAAGTAGGGCCTTGAGGCCTGCTATGTGACCAAATGAGCTGAATGAAGTATACTTGCTAAGCTTCTGCTAGTACGAGGCTGACTGATGGCTCTGATCAGGAGGTGGCCCATCTCAGTACATGGGTAGGGGAATCAGCCCATCAGAAGTCATCGAGCGCGACTAGAGACTGAACAGCTGGTCCAGCCCCTATCTACATACTAGTTCTGTCTGCTTGGCCCGTGGTGCCTCCCTTCTGGGTCATCCGGAGATTGCGTTTTCTTTGTACGTGATCTGTGGCTAGGTGCCTCGTTTTCACAGAATGCCGTAGCCAATTGTGCGTCTTAGACCATCACAACGCAGCTGAAACGACACAATGGCTGTCAATCTTTTGTGGTAGTGACATTGCATACAGCACTTAGTGGCACTCCAGAGACAAAAGGGCCCTTCTCGTATTTCCATATTGGTCTCGAGTGATGCCATGCCTTCCTGATGGGAGGCCACGCTACTGGCTCCGGATCCACTCAACTTCCCTTTTCTGATTCCAGCGCTGGGCCACGTTCGTCAAGTCGTTGACCCCCACGAAGCCTGAGAAAGGGAACAGGCTGGGGAATTCTGACTAGGCCTGCTCGTAAATACGTAGAGTATGGGGATGCGTGCGTGGGGGTCGTCTTCCATCCCCCTGATGGAGCGGTCAACGACCTTCCCCACATAGTTTGGAACTTGGATGTTAGGCCCGGAATGGCGCCGTGAATCCTGAGGGATCAGTAGAGTACCCCGTAAGACAAACTGGAGTATTCCTTATGGCCCTACTAGTTATTGCTCGCTAGTGAGTCATGTGCCACACTTTCAGGATGCGTTCTCCGGGGTTGGAGTTTCAGGCATAAAATAGACATCCCCACGCTCCCGAATCCTACCAGCAGAAGGGGCTTTCGTCGAAACAGATGCAATAATCATCTTGGTGCATCAAGTCAACCCTTTTCTTCAACTATCTTTCTACCAAATACTTCTCTTGCCGTAGGGTGGTGTGGCCATGTCCGCCTCCAACAACGACATCAAGGCGGCGGATTCGACCTCGGAGAGAGCCGAGAACATCCAGCATGTCGACAAGAGCGAGATTAGCGGCACGATGATGCCCGAAGATCTGGCTGTTCTCTCAGACGATGAACGAGCAAAGCTCGGCAAGCGAGCCACCTTCAAGATGGACATGGTAATCATGCCAGTCCTCGTCATCATGTACATCTTGAACTACCTTGATCGCCAAAACATCGCCAGTGCCAAGCTTGCTGGCATTGAAAAGGACCTGCATATGTCTCCCGTTGACTACCAGACTGCTGTGAGCATTCTGTTCTGCAGTTACAGTATGTTATCTTCGAAACCCATCACCCATCCCACCGCTCAGCCTCACTAACAGTGCTGCACAGTCTTGTTCCAAGTACCGTCGAACATGATTGCGAGCAGAATCCAATGGCCTGGCATTTACATCTGTCTCAGCATGGCTCTTTGGGGAGGCATCTCGGCAGTCATGGCCTCCGTCCACAACTTTGCCGGACTCATTGTTGCCCGTATCTTCCTGGGAGCCGTCGAAGCTGTGTTCTTCCCCGGCGCCATTTACTTCCTCTCCCTTTTCTACAACCGCAAGCAGTTTGCTCTCCGCATGGCTATCCTCTTCAGCGGATCCCAGCTGGGCAATGCCTTTGGTGGCCTGTTCGCTATTGGTATCCTGAAGCTTGATGGCGCTCATGGAATCGCGGGATGGCGATGGGTATGTATCTTCCCTATGCCCGCGTGGAGTATGTGATCACCGGTTTCTGACTCCTTACCAGCTGTTCCTTGTCGAGGGCGTTGCCACCGTCGGTCTTGCCGCCATCTTCGCGCTCATCCTCCCCAATTCGAACAAGAAGATTCTCGGGCTCTCCAAGATCGAGTGCGACTGGGTCCAATGGAACTACGCCGTCGACCTGGGCCAGTCCGATGACTCGCGCGAGATCACCCCGATGCAAGGCTTGGTGATGGCAGTCAAGGATATCAAGACCTGGCTCTTCATTGGCGTTCTCTATTGCGTAAGTCTTGCTCCGCCCTCTTCATCTAGCATTGAAACCACAGGGCAACTCGTTGACCACAGCATCACAACAGACTTACATCGTCGGCGCCGTCTCCAACTTCTTCCCCAGCGTGGTCGGCGGCCTGGGCTACAGCCGCAACATGACCTACCTGCTGACGGCGCCGCCCTTCCTGCTGTGCGTCATCTGCATGCTCGCCAACGGCTTCCACTCGGACCACACGCGCGAGCGCTCCATCCACGTCGTCGCGCCGCTCTGCATCACCCTGGCCGCCAACGTCATCGCCGTCTCGACGCTCAACATCGCCGCCCGCTACGTCGCCATCATGCTGCTGCCCGCGTCCTTCTACGCGTCCACCATCGTGACCCTGTCCTGGATCACGGGCTCCCTCTCGCAGCCGGCCGCCAAGCGCGCCAGCGCCATCGCCTTCATCAACGCCGTCTGCAACACGCCCAACATCTGGTGCAGCTACCTCTACTACAGCTCGCCACGCTACCTGACGGCCTTCATCGTCAACGTCGTCGCCACCGGCCTGGCCATTGTCTTCGCCGTCGCCGCGAGGATCTACCTGCGCCGCCAGAACGCCAAGCTCGATCGTGGCGAGGACGGAGGGAAGCACGGGCCTACGGCGGCACAGGTTGCGTCTGGTTTCCGGTACATGTTGTAGAGCGGTCCGATCTTGTCGAAAAGCAGCTGCGACGTAAGCTAGACTTGACTTTGTCTGGTCCATCGAGAGGCAGATATGCACTGTCAGAATGTAATATGTACATCGTATGGCGGTTTACTTATTAGTAGAACCAAAAGTATTGAATTGAATCATCATTCATGAGCACTTTGCTATGATCTATTCCAATCACATTGAAACATCATCAGCGTGCAAACATCAGATATCGCTCAAACAAAATAACATCCACGTCGTGCAGTCGAGGAACAGTGGAGTGCAGTAAGCAAAGACAATCCTCACCCCTCACAGCAAGCCATGAAGACGCGCTTGGAATTCAAATGTCGCTTTGCGAGAAAGTTCTTGTACTGCAAGAGTGATCTCATCGCCCTGGCTTTCGACAATGCGAGGCGCTGGGAGGCTGAATGGTCTACCATCCGGCTCACATACACTGTCAGACTGCGGCAATGTTCCATTTTGGAAGTAGGCTCTTATTGCCCGAGCAGTGCATGTCGAAGGAGTAGAGAGACTAGTGTGCTGTAAAAAAGAGGCCGTCAGTTTGATGTTCAAGACAGGTATTGCGGTAAGACATCATGACCTACCCCGTAGGAGTTCTGAATCAGCACAATCGAGCCCGGGAAGGATTGGGAATTATTCCGGGCACTGATCAAAGGCGTGATGTTGTCCGCAATGTTGTTGACGAACAAGATGGGGTAGCTCGTGTTCGCATTGAACGGGCCTATCACCGCGCTGTTAGCAGCGAAGTCAAAACACACGAGGGTACAGGCGGGCAAAGACTGACCAGCAACACGCCACTTGGGCCGGATATGCCGGCTGACACAGCCCATGCGGTTGACTGCATTGACAGCCCCCGCAGAGTAGCTCATCTTCTGCACGGCTTCCGCGTACTCGGCAAAGTCGTCCAGCGTGTCGTTCATTTGCGGGGTGTCCGCGCACAAGACGGCGGAGAAGACGTCGGCTGTTCCCTCGTTGAGCGTGTCGGGCGGCACCGTCGGCGGCACTGTCTCAACAGCACACAACGACAGCATATCGCCGGGCTTGAAGATCTCGTAGAGGGCCCGCCCGTCACGTTTCTCAGCCACCGCCAGGACTTTTGCAAGCAGCTCAAAGGTGTGGAAAGGTCGATAAAGACTGGTGGAGATGAAAGCCTTGATCTTCGAAAAGGTAATCAGCTGTGGCAGGAGTGGACCCTCGTCGCTGGGGGCCACAACGATAGGATTCTTCTGTAGATCTTCGAGAATGGCCTCGATTCTCCTTCTGATGGAGACAGGGTTCTTGTCGTACATTAGACACTGCACCGGCCCGGCTTCTATGCACAGCTCGTAAAAGGCATCCATGACCTTGTCAGTGTCTTGCAGGAAGTTGATGTGTTCCCGGAGGAACCACTCGCGGTAGTCAACGTTCCCTAGAATACTAATGTCAGCCATTCAACAAGACGGCAAGTAAGCAGTCATACTCACCATCGCTGACAATCCTATCGACCCTCTCTGGATACATCGCGGCAAAGGCGCCGGCGAGAATGGTGCCGTAGCTGAATCCCCAGAACTTGATTTTCTCTTCTCCCAACTCTTTTGTGATCTGCAGCAAATCAGCCGCATGGGACGCTGTGGCTGAATGGCGCAGAATGCCAGATTTGTCAAGTGTGCGTTCACACGTCTGGGAAAAGGCAGATGCCCGCGCAAATACATCGGAAAGAACGCCCGGGTGTGAGTCAATGGTTCCCGGAGCTTGAAGATTCCAGAGACTCCGCGCCTGCTCCGTCTCCCAGCATTCGATACGGGGAACGGAGGCTCCAACTATCGCCCATACACATTAGTGAATCGTATTGGAGGCACCCAATACGCATGTAGCTCTTACCTCCCCGAGGATCGAATGTCACGATATCCTATGTGAGAAATGAGGTCAGTCAAACTCGAAACCAATCTAACAGAAATTTAACTCACAAAATTTGTTCCAACAATGGATTGAATATACTTCCCATGGTCGACAAGACTCCATACACCAGAGCCTCCGGGACCCTAGACAAGCTTGTCAGTGCAAGACTCGGCGAAAGGAGTGAGAGAAAGCCAGTACCCCAGGGTTAAATATGACAGGACCGCGATAATCTTCCCGGTCCTTGGCTCGAAGCCTTGCAAGCGCAAGAATGACTCGTTCGTCATCTGATGGTTCAAGCCAGTCCATGGGAAGCTGAGGAAGTTAGCAACGTGACACGAGCCGATGCCGATAGCAAGGCTTACATCGAGTCTAGCACAGTCCAGCTCTCCATTATAACAGGGATGCCACTCTATCGATCGGCTAGGCGCGAACTGCGCTCATGTTTGACCCAACATTTAGCATCTTGAGGGCGTAGTTGCTGATGCAGAAGTAGGACTTACATCGGTCCAACGCCAGTCGCCTGATCCCGACTCTGTAGGTGGAGGAACCGGGGCTCTTGATTCGGAACGGGAGCTAGTGGTGCACCACAACGCCACAGTCGCCAGCGCCGAAGCGACGAGGATCTTCCAGGGAGGCCATGACCGTTGCGCTTGACGAGACGAGCCACTCGGCGAGGGAATAAGCGATTCCTTGTAATTCATCCTCCTTTGGGTTGCAGCTCCCTGAGATGAAGACCTGCTAACCGTAACGGTCTGTCTGGAAAGGGATGGGAAAAAAACCGCTATCGGGGGATTGGCGCAAACATGCCCCACGCCAAGCTCACCCTCCATCACTCACTCGCTCGCGGGACTGCCCGGAGAAGCGGAACCCATAAGATCATCTGTAGCGATCCATGTCTTATCAACAGTACCCAGGAGCCCAATGAATGGCTCAGCTGGCTTCTAGATGGCACCGATGAGTGTATCATAACCAGAAATGGAGACTTGTCGAGCGTGGCGCCTCGGCTTGTGCTCGTGGCTGTTGCTAGGGTACAGGATCGGTCAGGCAAAAGTAACATCCCCTACTCTAGGTAGTACTCTCAGCCTTTTTGGAGATACGGCACCTGGCCGGAGGGTCCAAACTTGATCCTTGAATAAATTGCATATATACCGTGCGTCTCGAGAATTCGAATGAATTTCGACAGAGGGAAAGTGCTACAACTTCACATTGGTTAGTCGTCTCATTAGACAGTACGGTGTTGGTACTCGAAAGTCGGTGCTGGTAGAGCCGGCCTCTTGTATGAGAACGAGTCATTTCTCCACTGCCTCCACCCAAAAGTACGTGCCGCAGAGAATAGGAACGAGTCGGAATTCCGTCCATTTTGAACGGAATGCCGAGTCGTTTTCCCTCCGTCTTCCTTCCACCCTTCACGATTTATCCTGGACCGCAATCCCGACTCGCATCGCCCGGAAACACCTTTCCACGAAGGAGATGCCATCATGGAAAGCACCGCCATACCGATTGGGTCTACGGCCTACGGCCATGCCTGCGCCGAGTGTGCAAAAGCCAAGACTCGTTGCATGCCTCGCGCCTCGGGGGGCAACAGCTGCCAGCGATGCCACCGGCTGAATAAGGACTGCCGGCCGGCGGTGCGAGTGCGCAAGCCGAAGCCGTTGTCCAAAACGGCTCGGCTGGAACAGAAGATGGACGGGCTAATGACGCTGCTGCAATCGTCCTCGGCGGCCGGAGATCAAGCCACACCCGCCACGGCCTTGGCAACGCCTCCCGATCCACTGGTGCTGGGCCAAGGCCCGACTATCCAACAGGCACCATTGCTGAATCCGTTAGTGAGCAGAATCCACGACATTGATATCTCTGCGGCTTCGGTGGACGAGCAAGAGGAGTATTTGCGGTCGTTCCGCGACGACAAACTACCCTATCTGCCGTTTTATCACCTCCCAGAGTCCATCTCGGCTCAGCAGCTCAAGCAGGAATCTCCCTTCTTCTGGATGTGCATTGAGGCGACCCAAACGAAAGACCTTACCCGTCAAAGAGAATTAGTCCAATTTTGTCGGGAATATGCTGCCAGACAGATGGTGGTGGAGTGCCACAAGAGCCTCGACTTGCTTCTTGGATTGATGGTACACATGATGTGGTGCGTGCCACTGTCGGCCGTCACCCGGGCGCCGCAGGATCAATTGCTGACAAATTGTAGGGTTTCACACCAGGCACAGCCTATGAGTAGTTGCCTCTGTCTGTATATGCAACTTGCAGTTGCTCTGATCACCGAAATGGGCCTGAACAGGCCTCCTCCTCGCGAGAGCCCGGCCGACGCCACAAGCTACACGACACCTCAGGACTTGCCGCATTTCAAGCCGCCAATGACAACGGTCCGCACGATGAGCCAACGTCGAGCCGTGATCGGCTGCTACATTCTCAGCTCAATGTAAGCCCCCCTTCCAAGCTCTTTAGGTGAGAGACCTGGCACATGGTGACACTGCCCGACCAGAATCGCGCATTTCTTGGGAAGGATGGACCCGATGAGATGGACCACGCACCTTTCTGAATGTCTCGATATCCTTGCCGAGAGCACAGAGACGGAATATGATCACTTACTAGTTCACATGGCCCGCATCCGCATGCTCGTGGACAAGTCTTGGCTGGTCAACATCCGCGACTTTTACTCGTCTGACAACGCCCAAGCGCCAGTCTTATTCCATCTGGCATCCTTCAAATGGCAGTTGGATGAACTCAAGACGCGAATACCCGACAACTACCTTTCCAAAGGTACGCAAGCTTGGCCTGGAACGAAGTAGATGTTCACGCTGACCGATAGGGTTTGTCCCAGAATCCATAAAATTGCACTTATTCTACGCCGAATTCGCTTTGTTCTCACCAGCCCTCAAGATCCCGCTCTCATCACCAGAGTACTCGGATCCAAAGCGCCTCGACTACCTCTACGCCTGCCTGATCGCCATCAAACAGTTCCTCGATATCATCGTCACCCTACCGCCGGCTGCCTATGCTTCTCTATCCATCGTCCACTTCTCTCAGACATCCACTGCACTGATTACCCTCTTCTATCTGTCGATATTAGAGCTCCCCGGATGGGACCGTGCAGCTGTTCGCAGGGCGGCCGACGTCATGGCTATCTCGGGGCACATCGAGCACCAGCTAAACCAAACGGGTAGTGCCATTGGGATCCGCATGAACGGACTAGAGCGAGACGCATTCGCCGCCGGAGCTGGCATTGTCCGGAAGCTGAGGAACGGATGGGTGACCAGGCTGGGAGACGTACCGGAACCGCCCCTGAACAACACTGTCGACCAGCTAACGCCCGAGTCGACCGACATCATGTTTCTTGACAACATGTTCGGCTGGTCTGTGGATATGTGGTTCCCGGATCCGATCTTTGGGGACTCTGCAAGCAATAACATGCTCTAGTTTGCAAATTCCTGTGGAATGCTTGACTTGGTAGGAGTTATAGATGGGATTACGACTACGGACATTAGACTCGATTTCTACTATGTACAACACACCTCAATAATAGATCATTAGAAGTATCATGAACAGCATTAGAGAAGTAAGGAGTGGAATTCATTTCATGCATATCATTATCAAGTCTATCATAAGTCAAAAAAGTCATCGCTCGTGCCGTGCGGTAATGAATCGTCTATCCAACCGTTGCATGCATAACATCGTCCAGAGAATTTGTCCAAGAATCAAGTGACAAAGCAAAGAGGAATGGAAGATTGGGGGGGGGGGGGGGGGGGA